CCACACACACACGATGCATAGACATATATAAAAGCAAAACACCTGTACATATAAATTAACAATATAACAAACATCACCTCATATTTGGGGGAGGTATGCTTAGAGGAAGGAAGGGGGAAGGGAAGAAAAGTACTACATTTCAAACTCTTGCCCTTCTTTACTTTCTCTTTACTTTTGATATCTAGCCTCCCTCATCAAGGGTTGTGCATACCATCTAACATAATACTGATTTTATCTCTGGTGTTTCCCCCATCACCTCTACCAGTTTGCACTCATCTCTGTGGTCTTACTCTGATGAGTACCCTACTTGTCTCATACCTGGCTACCCTAGATTAACAGGTCAGACTGCCCTGTTGTTAGATCCTTGTCTGTTCATTCCTTTGTTTTTCCTTTTTTATGCTCTCTAATTTGCTGTCTGAAATGAGGGATAGTAGCATGAATAATAAAAATCCAGAGACAGATATTGGGGTTCAAGCTGAAGATTGGAGATGCAAAGCAGCCAACCACTAGAGAGACCTTTTACTTCTACCAAACCTTCAGGTCAAAAGACCAGTCTACACGAATCCTCAGACTCCCCACTCCCGTGAGTTCCTGTCTCTTCCCCTTTATGTTTCTCTCTGCCCAGCTGTATCATTCCTGTCTCTACCTCCCTAGTGCTGGGATTAAAGGTGTGTGACTCCCAAATACTGGGATTAAAGTGTGAGCTGTCACCACCTGGATCTGTTTCTGGATCAGCTCTTGTGTAGCTCAGGGTAGCCTGGAATTCACAGATTCATCTGTCTCTTGTCTCTATCTCCTGAGTGCTGGGATTAAACATGTGTGCCCCTACTGCCTACCTGGCCTGTATGGCTGACTAGTATGGCTGCCTTGCCCTCTGATCTTGAGGCAAGCTTTATTTATTAAAACACAAATAATATACCACTATAAGAAATTGAGACTTAAAAAGTGCTTTGGTCAAGAAGATTAGAGAAGCATTCTTGTGTGTTATTCCTCTAGTCAAGGACACAATTTTGGTTATTACTACAGTGGAAGAAATAAAGAGTAAAGCTGGAATTGAAGGAGACAGTGATCGCAAAGCAGTTGTCTGATAGATGAGCAGAGATGTGACTTGGCATTGGGATAAAGGCTCCGCAGGAAGGAGGGGCAGGACCTCTGTGGGATAGATAGGGTCAGCATTGCATTAGAGAGGCTTCAAAAGATGTTTGTGTAGGAGAATGGTGAACAGAGGACAATCCCTCAGGTTAGTACTTGCTTCAACCTTTTTTTTTTTTTTTGATTTTTCGAGACAAAGTTTCTCTATAACAGCTCTGGCTATCTCGAACTCAGACCAGGCTGATCTCAAACTCACAGACATATGCCTGCCTCTGCCTCCTGAGTGCTTGGATTAAAGGAGTGAGCCACCACTACCAGACACCTCTACTTTTTTTGGAGGCAGGGTCTCTTGTCATCATCTCCACCCCTGTTTTGTAAACCAGGGTGACTGTCCTGTGAACTTCCCAGGATATGTACTGCTACATCTATCTGGTCGTGGTGTTTTATGACAACAATAAAAGCAAGCTAATACAGAAGTTTTTGGTGAACCAAGACACTATCTTGGTTATGTAACACAGGTTGGGTTTGAACTCAAGATTATAGTCTCCAAACCCAGTTTAGAAGACATGGTTAATACTGTGGGAATAGTTCAGTTGGTAGAGTGCTTGAATGCATGCATAAAGTCTCACAAAGGCATGGTGCACACACCTGTAATCCTACCTAGCCCTTGGGAGGTGGAGGTAGAACAATAAGGATTTAATGGCCAGCCTTAGCTGCATCAAGAGTTCAAGGCAAATCTAGGCTACATGAGGAACCTTGTAGCATGAATTCTAATTGGTCTTAAGAAGTAAAGCCTGGAGTCAGATAGTACGTGGTGACAGCTGAATCAAACTGCCAACACATTAGTCTGTGGAGATATTTTATATTCTACAGAGGGGTAAAGGCAAGTGTTTAGGTAGCTATGAATGAACAAAAAGAAATACAATCTACTTGCACTGTATATGTGTAAATTAATTTTTGCATTTCTTTTGGACTTTAACTGTGTTTTTGTCTGTAGCTTTAATTGCCTAAACGAATTTTCTTGAGCCATATCTTCCTTACAATACCCTTAAACTAGGGCTGGAGAGGTGGCTCAGTGGTTAAGAGCATTGCCTGCTCTTTCAAAGGTCCTGAGTTCAATTCCCGGCAACCACATGGTGGCTCACAATCATCTGTAATGAGGTCTGGTGCCCTCTTCTGGCCTGCAGGCATGCACACAGACAGAATATTGTATACATAATAAATGAATAAATATTTTTTTAAAAAACAATACCCTTAAACTATAAAATATAAGTCATGTCTCATTTCAGTTCTGAAATGCTAAACATTTTAATGCTATTAATATTGACTGAAAAAGATATTTTAGTTATGTTTCTAACCATATATAAGGATTTTGTGTTTAATATGAATATGACTTTTTTTTGCTGGGCTTTTGGGTGGGGGGGTGAGACAGGGTTTTGCTGTATAACAGCTCTGGCTGGCCTGGAACTCACTCTGTAGACCACAATCTACAATCTAGTAGGCCTCAAACTCAGATTTCAGTCCGCCTCTGCCTCCTGAGTGCTGGGATCAAAGGCATATGCTACCACCACCTGACTTTTCTTGTTTTTTCTAGGCAGGGTTTCTTTCTCTATGTAGCCCTGGCTCTCCTGGAACTAGCTCTTTAGATCAGGCTGGCCTGGAACTCAACAGAGATCCTTCTGCCTCTGCCTCATGAGTGCTGGGGTTAGAATGCACCAACGCTGCCAGCAATATGAATCATATTAAAATACCATGTTTCTGTCTTACTATGTAGCCCTGGCTGGCTTTGAACTCAGAGATCCACCAGCCTCTGTCTCCCTTCTGAGTGTTGGGATTAAAGACATGTAGTGTGAAAGAAATTCATCTATTTCATTTGTTCTCTAATAGTCTTTCTTTCTTCAGCCTTTTCTCCTCTTTCTTTTTTATTAAATAAAAGGCTTCCAGAACTTTGTAACATTTTGATTCTGTGAAACAAAGAGTCCTAGATATTATAAACCTCTTAGTTTATTATGCTTTAAGCTCATGTCTACCTTTGAGACTTTGTTCTCTCTTGCTCATAGACAAAATGTAAAGTTATATCCACTAGCTCTCCCCTCATGTCAGATGGGCAGTTATAACCTTGCTCATTGTTCCTGTCTATTTTGTTTAAAGTGTCCATCTATATCAAATATGAAGCCACCTTTCATAAACATGGCATTAACTTTACTTCAGTGGATTAGTGTAGTGGCAAGGCTACTGTGTGACATGTAGGTCGGCTGTGTAGTTGTGACTTTGTCCACCTTCACTTCTTACAATCTATTGTGGTTTTATTGCACACCTTGTTTATAAGTAGCCGAACTAGGGTTTGGATTTGTATCGTATCCATATGAGTTACAAACTCAGGAATATATTAATTCCCATGTTTATCACTTCTGCGCAGGTGACTCTTACCAACTCTCGTCTGACATCAGCTCTGTATTCCAACTGTCGTTCTGAGTTCTCCTAGCTATTCTTTCCCTGCCACCAGTGAGCTTGCCATCTTCTCTTGTGTTTCACCTGCCCTTTCTAATTTCTTTCAGTGATATCTTTTTCCTTTTTAGGGAGTAGGATGGGGAGTTGTGGCAGAGTCTTAATATGTAGCCCAAGCTGGTTTTGAACTCAGTTGTAACCCAGGCTGGTCTCACCCAAACTGATCATTCTGCGTCATTTTCCTAAGTGATGGGATTATAAGCATGTGCCACAAAGCCTTACTTGATATCTTCATTTTTAAGATTCAGAATCTCATAGTTCTTCCCACACCCATGTTTTGCTTAATTACCACACTATGTATGTTTTGTTACTATGTATGTTTTTCTTCTGTATCATGACTATTAGCTTCTTTGTGTTTCTGTTTGGATTATGGTTAATTGTCTACAAAGCGTCCCACGACTGCCAGATCATTCTTTCTAATGCATAACTCCACTTACACTTGGTGCGCCCTATCTACTCTCTTCTGCTTATCTCCTTTCCCCTTTCTTTTTATGTAGTCCAAGCTGGCTTTAAATCCACAGTCATCCTATTCCAGCCTTCTGAGTACTGAGATAACTGTGTACCACTATGCCCTGCTGGGCCCATCATTTCCTCCCTCCCTCCCTCCCTCCCTCCCTCCGTCCCTCCCTCCCTCCGTCCCTCCCTCCCTCCTATCGTTGCCTTCCTTCCTTCCTTCCTTCCTTCCTTCCTTCCTTCCTCTCTTCTCTTTTTCATTATTTTATTATTTAGACAAGGTCTTCCTATGAAGTTCTGGCTGGTGGGAACACTTTATGTAGACTAGGCTGGCCTCAAACTTATAACCTGCCTCTGCCTTCCTCCCGAGCTAGGAGTTGTGCCTGATCATCCTGTTTTCTTTTTACCCTGAATTATAACCAAGCCATATTATTTGCTTTGCAAGTTGCATTCGTTTTTTTTTTTTATTATTGCTGTCTCTTCTTAAATTTCATTTATTTATGTATTTTTGAGACAGGGTCTTCTCTGTCACCGAGACTGGACTAGAACTCACTATATAGTCTCGGTTGGCCTTGGATTTGTGACAGTCTTGCCTCAGCCTTCCTAATGCTGGGATTATAGGCGTGAGCCACCACCCCCAGTTTATTGCTGGCTCCTGTTCCTTCCTTATAGCCATGGCACAGATCTTTTATATCTATTTTTATTTATCTTTTAATTTTTGAGACAAGGTTTTGCGTAGCCCAGGTTGGCCTTGAATTTGCTCTGTAGCTCTGGCTGTCCTTGAATTCTTAATATTTCTGCTTCTCAGGTAATGGGATTATAGGTGCATGCCACCATGCCTGGCTCCCAGCATAGCGCCTCATTTAAGGGTCTTGAATACATTTTCTGCCTCAAACTTATGAGGAAACACATCCAGATTAACTGTTATCTTTTTGATCTTGTTATAGACTCGATCGTCTTTTTATCCTACTGGATACTGGTACTACTCCAGTTACAAGAAAAGCTGCTGCACAGCAGCTTGGAGAAGTAGTGAAGCTTCATCCTCATGAATTAAATAATTTGTTATCTAAGGTAAGAACTTACTGTTTTCTTAATGTAATGCAAGTATCAAGACTTGTCCATGGGTAGAGAAACAACAGAACAGGTAAAATCACCCTAAGTAACCTGGTGTTCTCTGAATTCCATTAAATATCTTTAGTTCTTGAAATAGTTTTTCAAAGTTGCTATTTGTTTGAAAGATAAAAAGTATTTAAATCAATTTTAATTGTTTAAGAGATCTGTCAATATTGAACCTTTTGCTTGTGTAACAAATTTGAATCTGACCCAATTTGGTAATGAACTAAGTTGTTAATCTGGTTTGTTAGCAGTCTAACTTGTTCTTAATGGCAAATAATTATATGATAGTTGGTAGTTTTCAAAAGCTTATGGGAATGCTTGAATATGTAAGACGCTAGTTGAGCTGTTTGGGATGGGAAATTTTTGCTTTGATGGGTCAGTGTTTCTGTACATTTCTAGTACATTTCTTTTCCTATGTATTTTTGCTTAATTGTGGATATGTTGAAGTGCACCTATACATTAATATTTGACAAATGGCATTCAGAGTAAAGTAGTAATACTTTGGGATGGTGGAAGCAGGGAAGTGGCAGGAGTTAGAGTAGTGGTTTTTAACCTGTGGGTTGTGACCCTGTCAGGGGTTCACATATCAGATTATCCTGCATATCACATATTTGCAATTCATAAACAGTAGCAAAATTACAGTTAGGAAGTAGCAATGAAATAATTTTATGTTTGGGGGCGGTCACCACAACATGAGGAACTGTATTATAGGGCCACAGCGTTAGGAAGGTCAAGAACCACTGAGATAGTGGACAGGTGAGGACATATTGATTGCCTAGACATTGGGAGCCCTGAGATAGTCTAGTGACTAATAGACTCTAGTCTAACCCTCTCCTTTCTTTCTGACTTGTCTCCCTGATACATAGGAGTCAGTTCTAAGTCTCCTTTCAACACATACAGTATGTATGTATGTATGTATGTATGTATGTATTGTGTGATTGGTGCCATAAGTGCTAATAGTATCAGATACTATCTGGAATTCTTAACCAAGGTGTAGATGGAGAGACAGATTTGATACCTATAGGTCCCACATTCTCAGAATGGAAAAGGTTACATATTAGGCATTATTATACTCATCTGTAAGTTGAGTGGAGAGGCATATGTATTTCTCATTATTACAAGAGAAGAAAAGGAAAACTGCCTTCCAAGGTCTTTTTCTCCTTTTTGTTTTTTTTTTGAAACAGGGTTTCGCTGGTGTAACTCTGGTTGTTCTGGAACTTGCTCTGTAGATCAGGCTGGCCTTGAAGTCACAGGGGTCTGCCTGCCTCTGCCTCCAGAGTGCTGGAATTAAAGATGTTTGCCACCACTGCCCCAGCAACTTAATTTTAAAATGTTTTTTATCACGACAGAAGGACATCATAGCTCTTTTAGCAGTTGCTGTAACACACTCAATATTTAGTCACATGCTCAGCTTGATTTGTCTGTTTGAATATTTTGTGCAAAAAAAATTGTGCTGTGTGATGTAGAATACGTGTTTGTATTGTAGTGTGCTTTATTCGTTCTTCTCTATTTAAAAATGTTAATTAATTCCGTGACCATGAATGGATAGTACTTACACAGTGTACTGCTTCCTGCCTGCTCATCAGTCAAGGGGCATTTGTGTTGTGAAAAATACTGCCGTGAAAACTTATGTACAATTTTTTTTTATTGGGTGGGAATGTGTTTCTTGGTGTGTTCTGTTTCTCCCCCCCCCTCCTCCCTTAAACAGGATTTCTCTGTGTAATAGGTCTGGCTGTTCTGGAACTTGCTATGTAGACCAGGCTGGCCTCGAACTCACAGAGATCCTCTTCAGTGCTGGGATTAAAGATGTGGACCACCATGCCAGGTTTGACACTTGGCTTTTCCTGTGTGTGTGTATGAGAGAGAGAGAGAGAGAGAGAGAGAGAGAGAGAGAGAGAGAACGAGAACACACATGTGTTCTGTGTATTCTGTGTATGTCGGAGGTCAGCCATGTTTTGTTGTTTTTGATTTGGAACCATAATCCATATTGGGATGTTTTGAGACAGAACCTCAGAGGCTTGGAAATCACTGAATAGGGAGATCTAGGTTGATTGGTCAAGTAAGTTCCAGAAATCTATTTCTCTCTGTCTCCCAATGCTGGGATTATAAATGCTAGCCACCATTCCTGGTTTATTTCTTGGGTTCTAAGGATTATTGAATATACATCTTCATGCTTGCCTGGCTAGGAGCTTACTTATTAACTGAGCTATCTTGCTAGTCCACATTTGTTTTTCAGTGTGTTAAATAGCTATGTTATTCCTAAAATGCCTTTAAATATTTTATCCCGCCCCCTCTTTGTTTTTTTGAGATGGGGTTTCTCTGTGTAATAGCTCTAACTGTCCTGCAACTTCCTTTGTAGATCAGGCTGACCTCAAACTCACAGAGATCCACCTGCCTCTGCCTCCCAAGTGCTGGGTTTAAAGGTGTGCACCACCACACTGGCTTCTCTTTCCACTTTTTAAGATGCTAGTGAAGGCAGGAGAAATGGCTCAGTGGGTAAAGGAGGATGCTGCCAAATGTGATAACTGAGTCAGTTACTGGAATGCTGATAGTGGAAGCAGAGTACTGACACGTCTGCAAGTTGACCTTTGACCTCCACACATGCACACACAATAAATGTAAAAAAAATGATAACATTTTCTTTGAATGATCAAACTTTATGAATTAGTTTAATAGTTATAAATGTTTTATATGTATTTGAAGGATTCCAGATTATAAATTAATAGCAAATTAATATTTTTCTGGTTACCTGGAATAAACTATTGATATGTAATTATTTTATTTTATAATTTTAAGGTATTAATATATTTAAGGAGTGCAAATTGGGATACTCGGATTGCTGCAGGACAAGCTGTTGAAGCTATAGTGAAAAACGTGCCCGAATGGAATCCAGTGCCAAGAACCAAACAAGGTGCCTTTAAAGTGCAAAAGTAGTTTGAAATCAGACATAACTGTAGAATTAACTACAGTGTGAAGTATATTGTTAATAATTTCAATTTTGATTTAAAGACTTAATTTACACATTTTCAGGTTCAGCTTTCCTGGGAAAGAATATTAAATAATATGTTTTTTGCCATTAAACTTAAAAAAAGAAACTTCTGGATAAACTATTTTCATATGTATTTCCATATATATTTAATCCTATAGGATACTAAATTTATTACTTCCCTCACATGGATGATGTTGTTTGGAAGTTCTTATGGTGTGATATTTTCTAAACTTCAGCATAATTATGTATGAATATTTGGCAAACTAAGTCTTTAGTAATGTCCCTCTCAGTGTAGGAGTTTTGTCTTCTGGTTTGTTGTTTGATTTTGTGGTATTGAGGGTTGAACCCTTGTGGATGCTAGACAAGGAATTCTACTACTGAGTTGTACTGCTCTCCCAAATTAGTGTTTTATGTTGTTATTCTTTTTGAATGTTGTATAGAGGTAAAAGGTTGTAGTACTTATTTTATGATTGCCTCTACTGATAATTTAAAGCAAATCATGTCTTGGAGTCAATATAAGGCATACAATTGTTTTTTGTTTTTTCAAGATGGTATCTCAGTGTAGCCTTGGCTGTTCTGGAACTTACTCTGTAGACCAGGCTAGCCTCAGAGAGATTCATCTGCCTCTGCTTCCTGAGTGTTGGGATTAAAGGCATGAATTACTACTGCCCAAGGCAGACAATTTAATTAAGTGATTTTATTTTAATTAATTAATTTTTTTGAGATAGGGTTTCTCTGTGTAACAGTCCTGGCTGTGCTGGAACTTGCTTTTGTAGACCAGGCTATTTATTCTAAAACACAGAGAGATCTGCCTGCCTCTGCCTTTTGAGTGCTGGTTGAATTTGTTTTCTTACTCTAGCATTGTACAGTACTTCATAAGATATAATAAATATTCCCTAAGTGAGAATCCAGTAACAAGCAGCTAGATTCATTTTAGTCTTTTTGCATAATAAATCTTGTCATTCTTAAAGTTTTTGTTTTTATTTTCTGATGTTATTTTGAATTTTTGTGTTAATTTGTCTTTTATCAAATGTAAAACCTTTTCAATTACAGCTCCTTTTCCCCGATTATCTTGTTAGATGGACACGGTGCAGCTTATTTTATTGAATTAGTTACACTAGCATTAAAATTTATAGTGAGACTGCTTATCATTACTAGAAAACATTCAGAGTTCTGTTTTTTAAGTTAAAGCATTTATAGTTTACAGTAAATGACTGAAAATGCCAGATTAACTGTTGTCTTAGTAAGCAGGTATAGTTTAGCATTTACAGCTAACCTGTTTTTGGAAAGAATGGAGAACACTTTGAAGATATTCTTGAAGATATAAATGGATGTAGAGTTTCATTAGTTCGTCATGAGTTTACAGTTAGAGTGTGGAAAATAAGTTCTGTTGAATGAGTAGTTTCTATCCTAGCTATTCCTCCGACATAGGGAGGGATGATGTTACTTTTTTTTTTTTTTTTTTTTTTTTAATTTTTGAGACAGGGTTTCTCCGTAGCTTTTTGGTTCCTGTCCTGGAACTAGCTCTTGTAGACCAGGCTGGCCTCGAACTCACAGAGATCCGCCTGCCTCTGCCTCCCAAGTGCTGGGATTAAAGGCGTGTGCCACCACTGCCCGGCTGATGTTACTTATTTATGAATACATTTTATGTATGTTGTCTTCTGATTTAGCAGTGTAATAAACTCATACTGTAAGTCTGGAGATTTTAAACCCTTAAACAGTAAATTAAAGTATGATATTTAACATATATGTCAACACGGAAATGCATTTCTTTATATAACATGCTTTCATAATTGGAAACTCACACCCACTTACCATCTGATGGTTTGTAGAAGAGGAGTCACCAAGTTAATAATTGTTTCACAGATAACTAAGATTGATTGTAGATAAATCATAGTGGTTTTTCTATTTCTTCACTTTTCTTATTAGCCAATACTGCAAGTAATGCTATGCCATGTACTTTGATTCTGCACTTTTGACTTTATGGTCAAATTGATATTTTTAAACTTCTAGAACCTACAGAAAGTTCTATGGAAGATTCCTCTACTACAGATCGATTAAATTTTGACAGATTTGATATATGCAGATTGTTACAGCATGGTGCATCACTTTTGGGGTCTGCTGGTGCAGAATTTGAAGTCCAAGATGAAAAATCAGGTTAGTAATAGTCCTGAAGAAGTCTGAAATTTTGCTGTCAAACTGACTTATAATTTGGTGTGCTGTTTAATATATAAGGAATCATGAAACATAAATTGTGTGAAGCTTTTATGTGTAGGGGAGTTATGGGTAGTCAAAGTAACCAGCAGTGCTTGTTCTAAAGCTGGAATAATCAGAACCAATATAGAATGTGACAGTGCTTTTATAATTCTGGGAATTTGAAGGTTATATTGTATATTATCTTATATTTCAAGTAGTATTGTATCTTGTGCCTATGTGCAAAGTGAAAAATTAAAACCAAACCTTGGCAAGGTACCTGGCTTATCTTTAAGCTAACAGAATATATAGATATAGATATAGAATATATAGGATATGTTGATACAAAGGTGAGTAGATGCCTTGAGTGCAGTGGCTATCGTGCCAGCAGCTCCTAGAGGCCCAAACAGGATCATTTGAGTCTTGGAATTTGGGATTAGACTGCAACAAAGGGAGGCTCTGCCTCAGAAAACCAAAAAACAGTGGTCACAGAAAAATAAATATTTTCTTACTCAAGATTGTGACTTTGAGTAGAAAAACATCTAATTTTTTTTTTTAAATATTTATTTATTTATACAATGTTTTGTCTGTATGCCTGCAGGCCAGAAGAGGGCGCCAGACCTCATTACAGATGGTTGTGAGCCACCATGTGGTTGCTGGGAATTGAACTCAGGACCTTTGGAAGAGCAGGCAATGCTCTTAACCACTGAGCCATCTCTCCAGCCCCATCTAATGTTTTTAATGGATTTCTGTAAATAGGTTGTGTTTCTTAACTTCAAATGGAGGCAGGGTGTGGTATCACACACCTTTATTCTTAAGCCAGCCTGGTCTACGTAGTGAGTTCTAGGCCAGACAAAGCAACACAATGAGATTCTTTTTAAAAAAAAAAAAAAAGCAATAGATGATATCAATATGATTTTGATTATGGTCTGTGTCTTGTGGCCATTTATTTTTTTATTTTATTTTGTTTTTGTTTTTTTCGAGACAAGGTTTCTCTGTAGCTTTGGTGCCTGTCCTGACCAGGCTGACCTTGAACTCACAGAGATCCATCTGCCTCTGCCTCCCAAGTGCTGGGATTAAAGGCCTGTGCCACCACCGCCTGGCATGGCCATTTATTTATTTATTTATTTTAATTTTTCTTTTCCCCCTTTGGTTTGATTGTGTGTTTGTGGGGTATGTGCACACGTGTATGCCTGAGGGCCATGTTCCTATTGGTTTTTGGAACTCACTGATGTGACTGGGCTGGGTGGCCAGTGAGCTCCAGAGTCCCGTCTCCACCTCTTTATCACTGGGGTTATAGGTGTGTGCTATCAGACCAGGGTTCTGGAGGCTTGAAATCAGGTGCTACCTCTCTAGCCCCCATTTTCATTATTTTGATAGTAGTCTTTTTGTTTGTTTTTGGTTTTTATTTTATTTTTTTAATATTTATTTATTTATGGCTTTTAAAGACAGTTTCTCTGTCGCTTTGGAACCTGTCCTGGAGCTAACTCTTTTAGACCAGGCTGGCCTCAAACTCACAGAGATCCACCTGCCTCTTCCTCCCCGGGTGCTGGAATTAAAGGAGTGTGCCCTCTTAAGGGTATGAGAGAGTCATATTTTATGGCTAAATGATATTTCATTTTGTGGACACTATATTTTATTTGTTCTTTCCTCCTTTGGGTTGTTTCCACTTTGTGGCTATTAAGAACAAACTTCCGTCAGGTCTGGGAATATGGTTGACTGGTTAAAGTTTTACTGCTCTTGTAGAGGATTCGTATTTGTTTCTGAGCCAACAAGACAGGTGATCAAGACCTATAACTCTAGCTCCAGATCCAGTGCCTTTATTCTGTGCACATATCTTCCCCAATACACATGATAAAAAATAAATGTTGAAAAGAATAAGTTACTATAAATCATTCATTTACAAGTTTTAGTATGAGCAAATATTTTTATTTCTCCTAGGAGTAGAATGCTGGGTCATACTAGCCATATTCTTCTATTAGAAACTACCAATTTTTAAAAAGTAGCTCCTCCATTTTATATTCCACCAGCAGTGTATGAGAAAACGAATTTCTTTATAGCCTTACCAACACTATTATCTAACTTTTGATACTCGCCACACTAGTGAGTATGAATGCTAGCTCTGTGGTTGTCATTTGTGATTTCCAACTGACTAGTGATACTGAATATCTTTCATCTTATATTGTGGTTGTTGTCCATTTTAATCTACTCTTTGGGAAGTTTCTTTGTAGAAATGCCTGTTTAGGGTCTTTTCTTGTTTTAAAATATGAGTTGGAAGCATTCTTTGTATGTTCTAGATACAATGCCTTATCAGATATATGACTTGCATGTTTTCATTTATTTATTTAGTCTGTGTATTTATTTATTGCCTTTTTATTTTCTTGGCTATATTTTTTTTCTTTTTAATCAAATCCAAATCCTGGCACATATTTTGCTAATGCTCTATCACTGAATTAAGTCCTTGTTTTATTTAAATTTTTATTATTATTATTATTATTATTATTTTTCAGGAGGGATTTCTGTCCTGGAACTAGCTCTGTAGACTAGGCTGGCCAAAAACCCACAGAAATCCACTCGCCTCTGCCTCCTGAGTGCTGGGATTAAAAGCGTGGGACACCACCACCTGGCTGTTTTAATTTTCTTAATGGTGTTCTTTGAAGCATAAAATATAATTTTGTTAGGTCCAATTTATGTGTTTTTCAATTTTGTGTGTGTGTCATATGTAAGAAACTTCCTCCAAAGAGTTTTCCAATATGAATTGTTCTAGTTTTTTTTTTTTAACTTTGGTTTTTGCCATATGTAAGATTGATTAATGTTCTATTTTAATAAGATTTTTGTTTTTGTTGTTTTAGACAGGGTTTCTGTGTGGAACCCTGGCTGTCCTATAACATACTGTAGACCAGGCTGACCTAGAACCCAGAGATCCTCCTGCCTCTGCCTCCTCCCAAGTGCTGGGATTAAAGGTGTACACCATCACTGCCCGGCCCAGCCCTAGTGCTGTTTTAGAAAAAAAGTATTTTTTTTTTATAGAACTTAATAAAATAGCTGTTTTAAGGCCAACTTTTAATTTTTAAAGATTTATTTACTTTTATGTATATGAGTGCTCTATTGATTTTATGCCAGAAGAGGGCATTGCATCCCACTGTAGATGGTTGTGAGACACTGTATGGTTGCTGGGGATTGAATTCAGGACCTTTGGAAGAGCAGCCAGTGCTCTTAACCACTTGCCATTTCTCCAGCCCCCAAGTTTCAATTTTTAAACAGTCTATTTACTCAGAGTCTCACTATGTAGCCCCCCTAGCTGGCCTGGAAGGTAGAGGTTTGCTTCCCTCCTGGTCTCTGAGATTAAAGATAGATGCTGCCACACCTGGCTCTTATGTATTTAGTTAAAATATAGATTTTATTTTATATGTGTATGGGTGTACACCCACATGTGTGGCTGGTGCCTGAAAAGGCCATCAGCCCCTAGAGGACATCAGATCCCCTAGAACTGCTTTTATAACCTTCTTTAAACTGCTGTTTGGCTCTAAAAATCAAATGTAGGTCCTCTGGATGAGCAGCCAGTGCTTTAACCCTAAAACCATCTCTCCAGGCTGCTCAATTTTTTTTTTTTTTTTTTGGTCTTTTCGAGACAGGGTTTCTCTGTGGTTTTGGAGCCTGTCCTGGAACTAGCTCTGTAGACCAGGCTGGTCTCGAACTCACAGAAATCCGCCCGCCTCTGCCTCCCGAGTGCTGGGATTAAAGGCGTGCGCCACCATCGCCCGGCTTCAATTTTTATTTTTGAAATGACACTTTTTTGGTATAATTTTGTTTTACTGTTTTTCATCGAAAGATTTGATATTTTGCTTGTGACATTTCAAAACTTAGCTCAACTTTGTATCCTAGACTGACCCCTACTGCTGCCTCAGCTTTCAGAGTGCTGGAATTACAAGCACGTGGTACCACTCGCAATTAACCAAGCAAATGTCAGTATGTGTTTTTTAATGTGGTGGGAGTCTGATCTGCACATAAGAAAGTTCTAACTAATTCAGAGAGAATGTATTTCTTTTCTGTTTACAGGTGAAGTGGATCCTAAAGAGAGAATATCACGTCAACGGAAATTATTACAGAAGAAACTTGGACTTAATATGGGAGAAGCAATTGGAATGAGTACTGAAGAACTCTTCAACGATGAAGATTTGGATTACACCCCAACTTCAGCAACCCTTGTAAACAAACAATCTGTAGGTAAAACATTGGGTTGATTGCAAGTAACAACACAAAAGTTTATTTTACTACGCAACTGAACCAAGAAATTTCTATAGACCAAGTATTGTGTGTCCATTTAGGCCATATTGACCATTCCCCACTAAGTATCGCTAGTATATCAGTATATGTAGATTAAACACATTTATGTGTGTAGTATATGTATGTGTTCATGTGGGAGTATGCATGAGTTTTTTCAGGTACATTGTATGTGTGTGTTCTTATGTGTAGAAGTAAGGTCAAATTTAGTAATTTCTTGATTAGTTGCCTTAGTTTTAGAGACAGGGTCTCCTTTGAACCTGGAGCTCATCCATTCACTAGGTTGTCTGGACAGTGAGCTCTAGGGACCGGTCAGTCAGTCTCCACCTGCCATGTCTGACTCTGACATGAACTCAAGTCCTCATGCTTACACAGTAGACACTTGATTGACACTCTTTTATGACAGTCTCATTCCAATTTGTGACTGAGTCATAGTTTTACTTTGTCCTATTTTTTCCTTTATTCTTTCAATTCTCAGTGGATGCATATGAACTTTTAAAAATTGTTTTTATTATTTTAGAATTTTATAGACTGTATTTTGATCATAGTCACCCTTAAGTCATCCCAGATCCACTCGCACCTCCTTCCATTTCCCCCAGTGCACACTAACTTTATTTTGGACACTGTCTTTTGAAGTGTGAAAGACTGTAACTCTGTTTCATATAGAAGTGCAATGTTATGTTTCAAGAGGTTCAGTACTCATTCTCCTATCCTCTAAAACCTGTAAGGGCCCTTTTGCTCCATCAATATTTCCTGCTTCTGGTCAGGTACAGTGGCACATGTCTATAATTCCATGACTCTGGAGGCAGAAACCAGCCTGGGGTACAGAAAGAATTCTAGGCTAGCTTGAGCTCAGGGCAAGACTTGTCTTATCGGGGAGGCTGTGGTCCTAACAGGTGGTCTTGCATGTTGAGGTCCCTTAGGGAAGTTTCTTAAAGGTTTGTGTTATCATCTGCTGTTATAGCTGCACTGTCACATGCCAGTGGTTCCTGGTTCCCAGACATTATCACCACATCCATATTAATACTCCTTACTAGTTGTAAATTATATAATTTCAGTTAATTCTTAGGATAGATACAGAAAGGGATTTCTTTTCTTTGTCCCCTCCTCTTCTTTCCCCGAGGCAGTGTTTCTCTGTGTAGCCCTGGCTGTTCTGTAGACCAGGCTGGCTTCTAACTCACAGAGATCCACCTGTCTCTACCTCCTGAGTGCTGGGATTAAAGGAGTGCACCACCACTGCCCAGCTTCAGAAAGGAATTTTTAAGGTAATTTTTATTATATAAACAGAGTATATCTTTCTGTCTCTGTGTGTCTCTCCCCTCTTCTGTCTATGATACTTCTGCCTCTGCCTACAGAGGGCTAGGATTCTTACTTACTTTGTTGCTTAGGCCCAAATTCCTGGACTCAAGTTTTATTCTCTTGCATCAGCCTCCTGAGTAGACAAGCACCTTAATATTTACTTATTATGCAGTTTTTATAGTGTTTCCAATGGATAGAAAAAGATCAAAAAAAGCAGGAAGTGGCTAAGATAAAAGGATCATATGACTAAGTTGATGATAGCATGCTTGGACCAGCAAGTCACTTAAGGCTATACTTTTTTTTTTTTTTTAAACATGATAAGCATCGGTTTCTTTTATTGAAAATTTTATTTTCAAAACTTGATTGTATAATTGTTTTGAAGACTCAACTCTTCAGAAACCCTCTTTTTGTTAGGATTATTTATTTATGCCACACCTGTAGTATAAAAAGGTTATGAAACAAGACTTAGTCTGTTGGGAATTAGATAATTAAGAAGGAATTTTTTTGAAAGTTTTAATTATTTTTTGAGACAGGGTCTTTCTATGTGTTTCCGACTGTCCAGGACCTCAATCGACCAGGCTTACCTCGAGCTCACAGATATCATATGTTGGGATTAAAGATGTCCCTTTTGTTGTTGTTGTTGTTACTGTTTCAAACAATTTTTTTTACTGGTTTTGCTTGTAAGTTTGCTTGTTTGATTTCTGTTTTGGACTTATTCCTTTTTTTTTATTTTATTATTTAAAAGCCATTTTTGTTTTTGAGACAAAGTCTTACTAGGTAGCCCTGGCTTTCTCATCCTCCTCCAGCCTTCTAAGTGTTGGGATTTTAAATGTTCCAGTACACATGGCTTGAGAGTAAAATCATGATGCAGCCATACAACACAGTAGTGTAATATTATTAAAAAGATGTTCATCTCTATATTAATTTCTATATTAGGTGTACTACTATACACCTATTTCTCATAAGATTGAAATTATAGATATTTTAATTTCTGACAGTTTAAACTTGTTTTATTTTTTTAGACTCTTCAGGCAGCTGAATTGATAGATTCAGAATTCCGAGCAGGAATGAGTAATAGACAGAAGAACAAAGCTAAAAGAATGGCCAAGTTATTTGCAAAACAGAGATCCAGGGATGCGGTAGAAACAAATGAGAAAAGGTAGTAATCTCTTTATTTACTTGAAACAGAAATTGTGCTTGATTTACAGATAAAGATTTTGATGATTTTTATTCGGCTAAACGGTACTGTGCTTGTATTGTTTTACTCAGGACATAGTATTTGCTGTTGCTGCGAAATGAGATTTCTACAGAAAAATCTATAGGAGTAGAATTTTTTTGTTTTGTTTTTATTAATTTTCCTCAGTGATTTTCAGCATCACATGAAGACTGAAGACCAAGGGAAGAGCATTCCAGCTACAGGGAGTATAAGCGCCTTCACTGTGGAGTATTTAGGATGGAGATTATTAGAGAAGGAATTCAGAATGCTGGTCTAAGGATGACCAGTCAAGATGATAGGCTTGTTAAGATAACGAACTGTCATGGTGGTTTCCCTTGTTCTTTAGTTTGGGGCTGTGCTAAATAGCTGGTGATAATCCAGACTTGCTCGGTTAATCTTTTCGTGGAAAAGAATTCTGAAGTAGAGTAATTGTCTTATTGACTTGAATTAATAAAAGTGTTATCTATCCTCAAAGGGTAGCTAGTTCAGAACTACATCTTTAAGATTGGTCTCTGAAAGTGCTTATTAAATTATAGATTCTTGGGTCCCTTGTATGTTTGTTTGTTTGTTTGTTTGTTTATGGTATTTCTAGGCAGGGTTTCTCTGTAGCCTTGGAGCCTGTCCTGGAACTAGCTCTCATAGGCCAAGCTGGCCTGGAACTAAGAGATCCGCCTGCCTCTGCCTACTGAGTACTGGGATTAAAGGCATGTGCCGCCACCGTCCGCCTGCCCCTTGTATCTATTAAACCAGAGTCTAATGGTGTTCAGTAAATGTTTGAGCAAGTTATGAATTAATAAATATTGCAAAGTATAAAAGCAGGTCTTTGTAGATGGTGATACTTCTCCTTTTTAAATTCAATTGAAGTTGAAAAGTGTTTATAGTGTTTAAGAATTAAGCACAAACAGATGTGTAATAAACTTATTTGATAGGAATTCATGCTTGAGCCAGATAGTAGTGGCTCATGCATTTAATCCCAGTGAGGGAGGCAGGCAGATCTCTGTAAGTTTGAGGCTAGCCTGGTCTACAGAGGGAGTTCCAGGACAGCCAGAGATAAACAGAGAAACCCCGTCTTGCAAAAAAAAAAAAAAAAAATCAACCCCCCACCCCCCACAAAAAAAGAAGAAATCTATGCTTGGGTTTTGTTGATGTTTTTGTTTTGTTTTTTAGATTTATTCATGTATTTTATATATGTGAGTGCTCTATTCGCATGAATGCCTGTATGATAGAAGAGGATTTCAGTTCTCATCATACATGGTGTTGAGCCACCATATAGTTGCTGGGAATTGAAATTCAAGACCTCTGGAAGAACAGCCAGTGCTCTTAACCACTAAGCCATCTCTCCAGCCCCCAAGTTCTAATTTTTAAAAAATTTATTCATGGCCAGGCGGTGGTGGCGCACGCCTTTAATCCCAGCACTCAGGAGGCGGAGGCAGGCGGATCTCTGGGAGTTCGAGGCCAGCCTGGTCTATAAGAGCTAGTTCCAGGATGGGCACCAAAGCTACAGAGAAACCCTGTCTCGAAAAACCAAAAAAAAAAAAAAAAAAATTTATTCATTCAGAGAGAGTCTCATTATGTTGCCCTGTCTGAGCCATCCCTCCAGCTCCAGTTACTTGTGTTTTTAAAGTGTAAACTTTATTGAATTTGTTAACTGTGGGATTTTTTTTAAAATATTTATTTATTTATTATGTATACAATATTCTGTCTGTGTGTATGTCTGCAGGCCAGAAGAGGGCACCAGACCTCATTACAGATGGTTGTGAGCCACCATGTGGTTGCTGGGAATTGAACTCAGGACCTTTGGAAGAGCAGGCAATGCTCTTGACCACTGAGCCATCTCTCCAGCCCAGTGAACAACTGGTTAAGGTCATAGACATTGAATATCCCTAAGCCAAAATGTTCCAAAAATCTAAAACTTTGAGCATAAGTTTCTGATTCCAGAGGATTTTAGGTTTTTGCTATTAAAGAGACTTATCTAATAAAGCTTATGCAAATATTTTCAAATTCAGTAAAGTCTAAGAGCAGAATGTTTCTGGTCCCAACTAGAAATATTTTGTATATACCTATATGTATGATGCATCATATTAATATAATCGTTAAAAGTGGGGGGAGAAAGACATGATAAGGAAGGTGTCTTAGTCACTGTTCTATTGCTGTCAAGAGACACCATGACTAAGGCAACTCTTAGAAAAGAAAGCATTTCTCCAAAGGCTTGCTTACAGTTTCAGAGATTGAAATCCATTATGGTGGGGAACATGGCAGCATGCATGGCACTGGAGCAGGAGAGATACATTTTGATCCATAGGCTGAGGAGGGAGGGGGCGGTTGACATGGGCGTTTGAAACCTCAAATCCCACCTACCAGTGATATACTTCTAACAAGGCTCCACCTCCAAACCCTTTTAAATAGTGCCATTCACTGGTGGCTAAGCATTAAAATATCTGAGCCTATGGGGGTCATTCTTACTCAGACCACTACAGAAGAGGAAATAAGAGGAAAGAGTTTGAAAGATTTGATTGGATGGTCTAGGAGGCCTTCACAGAGATTAGAGTTAAGATCTTAAAGAAGGCCCTTAACTGTCTAGGAAGAGACACTCCAAATGCAATTTTAAAGTCAAATATCTAGAAGTAGAATTATGCAGGCTTTAAAGATGTAAGATGATGTACCAGTATAACATGATAGGAGAGAATTAAGGAAAGAGCAGGGGGTGAGTCTTCAACATCTTGTTGATTTTATAGAACAAGTACCTTGGCCAAAAGTTTACACAATTAAGATGCAGAGACTGAGCACTGGGCATGGTGTTGCACACACCTTTAATTTTAGCATTGGGACCTCTGAGTTTGAGGTCAGCATGATCTACAGAGCTAGTTCCAGGACAGCAGAGAAGTCTTGTCTCTAAAAACAAAACAAAAGATGTAGCAAGAGGGAGATATTCAGAGAAAGTAAGTCTATCTATACTTTTGATTTTTCAAGACAGGATTTTTTTTTGTGTAACAGTCCTGACTGTCTTGGATCCCTCTTTTGTGGACCAGGTTGGCTTCAAACTCAGAAAGATCTGCCTGCTTTTGCCTCCTGAGTGTTGGGATTAAAGACCTGCACCACCAATTCTTTTAATGATATATAAAGGTAGTTTGTGTTTTGTTGGTTTATTGGCTAAGATGACCTTGAGTTCAAATCATGTTTTTACCTCTCCTTGGTGCTGGGGTAAAAGGTGTGTGCTGCCACACCCAGATTAAATAAAAGTAATATTATTTGTCTTTTAATTTTTAATATTTATTAGGCTAGCCTTTGTATTTTTTTCAAGTTATAAAGCAGTACTTTTCTCAAATGTTCTGCATACTTTTTATCAATGGTCAGATTTTGTATATTTTTAAAATCTTTGCTAATTTTTCCATACAGTATATTTTAATCATATTCTTTCAACAAATAAGCATAATTATATTACTTCGCACATTAGTTTTCTCTAGGTTGCAAAAGCTTAAAAATGTTAATGCCATGCGTGGCTAGACTAAGTTGTTGAGTTAAAAGAATTTAAAATTAAAAGAAAGGGAACTAACTGGTTATAGAGATGAAAGAATGTTAGTCTTGAGATTTTCAGTTTCAAAGAAAAGATTTAGCAACTTAAAGACTAGTGGGGTTTTTTATATTTACTTTATTGTTTTTAATTGAGCTATACATTTTTCCAGCTCCCCCTCCCAATTTACTCAGTAGATCTTGTCTTTCTGTCCTTCCTAGGCAAATCCATATATTTCTCTGTTAGGGACGTCTTTATCTAGGTAATAGGGTATATTTTGTTCAAAAATATTAATGAGTTCATTTTAGTTGATTTTTCTAAAAGTAAGCTATGTAAGCAAAATTGATACATCTGTGAAGATGATGGATTTTTCTTATATGCATTGTGTATCATTCATATTTTTCTTCATTTACTTTAAATTTGGTGACTTCTTTTTTAGTAATGACAGTACTGATGGAGAGCCAGAAGAAAAGAGACGGAAAGTAGCAAATGTTGTTATTAATCAGACTACTACTGATTCTAAAGTCTTGGTTGATAATGTTCCAGAAAGTTCTTCCATAATTGAGGAGGTATATTGAAATTGTTTATAACTTTTAACTATTATTATTACTATTATTATTTGTATGGATGTTTTGCTGCATGTATGTCTGTTTACTACTTGCATGACTGGTGTCCATGGAGGCCAGAAAAGGGTATCAGATGCCCTGAAACTGGAGTTAGAGACGGCTGTCATATGGGTGCAGGAAATAGAACCTGGATTCCCTGGAAAAGCAGCCAGTGTCTTTAACCACTGAGACATCTCTCCAACTCCTCTTTATCAGTTTCTTAACTGTATATATTAAGAATATTCTATAATTTGTCAACCAAGAGAAATTTTATTTGTAAATGTCTTAACACTTCATTAGTAAAATGTTTACTTTAAAAATTTAAAACTTTGTTACTATTGCTAATGCTACAAATAAATGCACTTCATTAACTTTCTTAAATTATTAGTATAAAGCTTTGATGTAGTTGTAATTATATTTTTCTTATTTAGACAAATGAATGGCCTTTGGAAAGTTTCTGTGAAGAACTTTGCAATGATCTTTTTAATCCCTCCTGGGAGGTAAAGTATCTTCTTAGCTCCATTTGGTGTAAAGTAAGGAAACAATGCCAAGGATAGAAAACGTGCTGAGATTCTTATTTTCACCTTGGGTGTCTCTTAGGACTTAGGGCATATTATATAGTTTTATTGTCTCTCTCCTTTATGTGTGTATGTTGGAGTGGGGTTGGGGTTGAGGCCGGGTCTCATCATGTAACTAGCTTTCTTTGAACTCACAGAGATTCCTCTGTCTCTGCCTTCTGGGTGCTGGGATTAAAAGTATACTCTATCATACCAGGTTTGACTTTTTAGATTTAGAAATTTTTAGATTTTTTAAAAAAAAAATCGTTTTTAGCCTTTATGTTTTGAAACAAATTGTCATTTCTTTTTATTCTTTTGGCTACTATAAAAACTTGTATTTTCCTTATAGACAGTAAAATGTGTTTTTTTCATTGAAAATAGACAGTTTTGGAGAATAGGATGGCAGTCTCGTAGTTCAGGATGGTTTTGAACATGTGATATTCTTGACTCAACCTCCTTTGTTCTGGGTTTACAAGTATTCACTGTATCATGCCTACAGTGGGCAGTTTTGATTTACTAAGATTAGTAATTTCAGTGCCTGGGTGTTTATTCTATGTGTAAAGAAGCATGTGTGTACGATACTCAAAGCTCTGGACTCATGCCTCAAGATCACTTCACCACCAAAACTAAACAAAATAGTTTTGAGTTGAGATTGGGTACATCCAGGGTGGTATGGCCATATACAGGGTGGAAATTTTCCAACCAGTTTCAGAAGTAATTTAGCCTCCAAAGTATTTCTTTAATGAAGACTTCAAACTTTTCCCAATATGTAGAAAAAGTGAAAATGAAGCCTTTGGATGAATTGCTAATTGGTCATCTCAGACCTTTGGTTATCTCTTGAATTAACAAACAAGACTTTGGGGCCAAGGGATGTAGCTCATTGGTACAGCACTTGTATGAGATCCTGCCTGGGTGTTATTGAAAGAAAAAGGAAAAGAAAAGAAGGGGGAAAAAAATCCTAGTGTTACGTACTTTTTGAAGTTAAGTAAGTCTTTGTTCAGATAACATTTTAAATAAACGAATATAATGTCAGTGGCCTTCTCCCTCCTCCCCCGGCAGATAACATGTAAGAGTCTCCTCATCTATGAGAATGGCGCTTTATCCATGGGCTTTAGGGAAGCACTATATTATTATATTAGACATCTTGGGTAAATTCTTTCTTCTGGAACTTGACCTTACTTTTTAATGCATGTACTTCTAAAATATTTAGTGTTCAGGCTATACAGAACAATATATGGAAATTTCTTTCCCTTGCTGCTTAATTCTAGAGTGCAGGTAGAGGCTGGGGGTGGGGATAAGAGCCTGGCTAGAGTTAGAATAACCATTTTCTTGCTTAGCTTTTTTTTTTTTTCTCTTTTCTTGAGACAGGGTTTCTCTGTGTAGTACTACTGGCTGTTCTGGAACTCACTCTGTGTAGACCAGGCTGGCCACAAACTCATTGAGATCCACCTGCCTCTGCCTCCCAGGTTCTGGGATTAAAGGTGTGCACCACCACTGCCTGTCTTTGCTCCACTTTTAAAACCTTCCACGTAACCAAAAAAGTTGTGAAATAAATATATGTAATTTGTCTCAGTTGAAAAACTTAGTCCTATAAGGTAATACTTATTTTACTTTCTTTGTATCCCAGTACACAATGCTTATTCTTAAAAGCATTATTGTAGGCCAGGTGTGGTGTCACATGCCTTTAATCTCAACATTTGGGAAGTAGAGGCTGGCCAGTCTTTGTGGGTTCTTGGCCAGCCTTGTGTACGGAGCAGCTTTCAGATCCTCTAGGGTTAACAAAGTAAAACACTACATTAAAATGAAAGAAGGAAGGAAGACAGACAGACATAATTATGTTTTAATAGATGTTTCTGTAACATCATCACTGACTGAAAAACATTTTCATATTAAAGAAAAGTTGAACTTGACTTCTTTAAACATTTGACCTCTGATATTTTCTTCCTGGGGTTTTTTTAGGTTCGACATGGGGCAGGTACTGGACTTAGAGAAATTCTTAAAGCTCATGGGAAAAGTGGTGGTAAAATGGGAGACAGCACTTTAGAAGAGGTAAGTATATTAAAATTATGATTTAGTTTTAGTAGTCGGTCTCTCTTCCCAGTTTAGGGGAAGTAACAAATGTTACGTACCATTAGAATGGACATGCAAGGTGAGAGGAAACACTGTTAAAAGGTTAAAAAAAACCAAGCTTGTAGTCATAGAATACATCTAGGGATCAGAGAGATTCAAAAGGACGAGTGCAAAAATTGTAGAAAGAGGAGCATTTGAGCAGGATATAATGCAATAGAGTAGAGTTAGGTAGAGGAAATGGTAATGTCGAACAGCAACAGTTATGTAGTGAGAAACACTGGAAACAGTATAGCTAAAGTAACTTTCTTTTGTATTGTTGGAGGTTGGGGGTGCTTTGAGACAGTCACTGTCTAGTCCCGGATGACCTGTAACTCCTGTTTACCTTTCTAACCTGGAGCTCACAGAGACCTGTTTGCCTCTGGGTCCTGAATGCCCAGCCTATAACCAGTTTTTTTTTGTTTTCTTTTGTTTTGTTTTTTTTGAGACAGGGTTCTCTACAGAGAACCTTTGGAGCCTGTCTTGGAACTCGCTCTGTAGACGGCTGGTCTCAAACTCACAGAGATCCTTCTGCCTCTGCATCCGAGTGCTGGGATTAAAGCCGTGTGCCACCACCACTTGGCATAATTAGCTTTCTTAAGAGTACAGGTAACTTAATAGACCCATGAATAGAAGAATTTTGATATAGTGTTTCTGAATATAATTATCAAAGAGGACATGTTTACAATTAAGGATGGTGTGTGGAGCTCTTCCACTGGTAACTGTTCATTCTCCGAAGATAATCTGTTCCAGTATTGTATTTTTTAATTAATTGATTAATTTTCTCTATCTCTATCCATCTATCTATCTGTCTATTGTTTTTCAAGACAAGGTTTCTCTGTAGCTTTGGTGCCTGTCCTGGAAGTAGCTCTTGTAGACCATGCTGGCCTCGAACTCAAAGAGGTCTGCCTGCCTCCGGGTGTGCCACCACTGCCTGGCTCTAACACTTCTATTATCCCCTAGTACAGAGTTGATTTTTACCTGTTATTAAAAATGATTGTATCTTAATAGATGATTCAGCAGCATCAAGAGTGGTTGGAGGACTTAGTCATTAGACTCCTTTGTGTTTTTGCCTTGGACAGATTTGGAGACTTTGTTTCTGATGAAGTAAGTATCACCTGAGTGAAGCTTTGCCCAGGTTGTAAATTCTACATAAGTACATTTTCTGCATATGTAACTTCTTTCTGTTCTCTAGGTTGTAGCACCCGTTCGTGAAACTTGTGCTCAAACATTAGGTGTGGTTTTAAAGCACATGAACGAAACAGGAGTTCATAAGACAGTGGATGTGCTACTGAAATTACTGACCCAAGAACAGTGGGAAGTTAGACATGGCGGTCTGCTAGGAATAAAATATGCTTTGGCAGTTCGCCAGGTAAATAACTCGGTTTGGAAAGTGCAAGCGAGAGACTCTTAGTCAAAGGTGTTGTGTTGTGATGAGTGTGCTTGATTGCCTGTTCCTTTGTTTTATGAGCTCGGTATGTAGCTCCACCTGGCCTGGACCTTGCTATATAGACCCAGGCGGGCCTCAGAATTGCAGAGGTAGTTCCGCTTCTGCCTCTTGGGTTCAGAGATTATAGGTGTGTGTTGTCAGGCTTTCTTGAGAAAGTGTCACAGAAAAAAAGATGTCTATCAAGAGTCAGACTTAGTTTGCTCAATGTAGTGGTTTCCAAGTCTCTCTATTTTTCTGCAGTTATCACTCTTTTAATCCTTTTCTTTTCCTCCTTCCCTCCTTCCTCCTTCCTTCTTTCTTTTCTTCTTCTACTGGGTTTCTCTGTGTAGCCCAGACTGGTCTCAAACTCAGAGATCTGCTTCCTCTGCCTTCCGAGTGCTGGGATTAAAGGCGTGCACCAGCACCATGTAGCTAATAATCTTTTTTTTTTCATATGATCTTATTATATAGTCCTGGCTGGTGTAGAACTCACAGATATTGGGATTGTAGGTGTGTGCCATCATGACCAGCCTTTAGTGCTTGATAGCTTTTTTAAAAAATTAATTTATTTTTTATTTTATGTGTATTGGTGTTTTGCCTACATGTGTGCCTGTGTGTTGGATCCTTGGAACTGGAGTTCCAGACAGTTGTGAGCTGCCGTGTATGTGCTGGGAATTGAAGCCGGGTCCTCTGGAAGAGCAGTTAGTGCTCTTACCCACTGAGCCATCTCTCCAGTCCCAGTACTTGATAGCTTTAATGAAGTATTTAATAAAGCTTTTAATAAAGTATTGGAATCTTTCTCTAGTGGGATTATTTATGTAAGCTTCTGCTAACTTATTTTTTTTGTTTGTTTCTTTTCAAATACAAAAATATTGAAATATTTGTTCAAAGTTAATAGAGATGTTTGAACACAGTAATTATTCCATAGAAAATTAGCCTGTTTTGGTGTACTATTTTGCAGGATGTAATTAATACTTTATTGCCTAAAGTTTTAACTCGAATAATTGAAGGACTCCAGGACCTTGATGACGATGTCAGAGCTGTTGCGGCAGCATCCTTAGTGCCTGTGGTAGAAAACCTTGTCTACCTTCAGACACAAAAGGTATATTAAAGATTTTTCAGCATTTTTTCCCTATAGTGCATGTTTACATGTGGGTATGGAATAGTAGGAAAAACATTGAGTTCTTGTTATTTTATCTCCTACACCTTTTATAGAAATTCTCTTGTTTCTTTATTCTTTTTTTTTTTTTTTTTTTTTTTGGTTTTTCGAGACAGGGTTTCTCTGTGGTTTTGGAGCCTGTCCTGGAACTAGCTCTTGTAGACCAAGCTGGTCTCGAACTCCCAGAGATCCGCCTGCCTCTGCCTCCCAAGTGCTGGGATTAAAGGCGTGCGCCACCACCGCCCGGCTAATTCTCTTGTTTCTAACAAGGTACATGCACGCTTGATTATGTGTTGTCTTTGGGAACAGTGAGTTGTGTATTATCTAATTCCCTTTATGTACATAATAAACAGAAGTTCCTTGAAAAAGCAACAGATATTTCTTCCTAAATTTACCCTTGTTAGAGATAATCAAGTTTTAATTTTTATTTTGTTTTTTAATATTTTAACTTGATCTCATTTTTAAGAGACTGTTAAATTTTAGCTCCAGTTCCATTTCATCAAATACAGAATATGAAGTTAAAAGGGCAGCCAGCATTATTTTATGAGCTCAAAAACTAAACATGTATTTTCATGATTGTTTATATCACTTAAAATTCCCTAAAGCTATCCTGCCCAGTAAACCTCTGGGTGGGGAGGAAGTGAGAAAAGTAGAGCCTAATGACATTAAAAAGAGGTAGAGAATTGTTAATGGCAAATAGTGTTTTCTCCTTGATATTACTCAAAACTGACACTGTCCAAATTCATTGAAGTTATATATCCTATTGACTTGCTAGTTACCCTTTGGATATAATTTGGCAGGATTTAAGAATTTGTTGTGTGAAGTCAATAACTTTTCTTAAAAACTGATCTTACAGGTACCCTCCATTATAAATACCTTATGGGATTCTCTCCTGGAATTAGATGATCTAACAGCTTCAACAAATAGTATTATGACTCTTCTTTCATCAATGTTAACTTACCCTCAGGTCCAGCAATGCAGGTAATTATTTCTTAGTAGTGTGATAGAATAATAAGCCTTTCTATGTCTTTCCAGATTAAACTTAGACTTCCAGCAGCTTTAAGAACAGTGCTGTTTATTGAGGACACCACTTTTTCTAGGAAGTTTTTTCCCTTCTTTATTCTAACTACTAGAACATTTGGAACAAGAAATGTTATTTTAGGGGCTAGGATCAGACCTTAGTGGGAGATTGCCTAATGTACAAAGCCCCGTGTTCTAGCACTGCATACACACAAATAAACTTTTTAAGTAGTTGTTTGCTTTACCTTGGGTATTAGTTTTATAGTTCATTATCTTGTGGACCTAAAATAGATACCTCAAAATAGTTTATTTTAAAAACGTCATTTTGCTGGGTGGTTGTGGCTCATGCCTTTCATTCCAACACTTGGGAGACAGAGACAAGTGAATCTGTTCGAGGCCAGCCTCATCTACAAAGTGAGTTCCAGGACAGCCAGAGCTGTTACACAGAGGAAACCCTGTCTCCAAAAAAACAAACAAAACAACAACAAAAATCAGTCATTTTAGAGCCTTTAATCCTAGCATGCAGAGGCAGGCAGATCTCTGTGAGTTCCAGACTAAACTGGTTGTCTAAGTGAGTTCCAGAACAGATAGGGCTGTTCTTGAAAAATCCTGTCTTGAAAAACCAAAAATTAATCATCTAAACAAAAAAGCAGCCAGTTTATATTATCTCCAGTGATGGTTCAAAATACAGATTTTTGAAATTTAACATGCCAAAAAGCCGTTATTGTTTCTAGTAATAGTATCCACAAAAATGCAGAAGAATTTATACAGCTTTTTAAAATTCACAAATGGGGAAATTGTTGTTCTTAGCCTAGCGAGTTTATTTGGTGAATGTTTATACATTTATGATTTTAAAGTGGCTGTATGAATATTTCGTGAAATTCAAACATATTTTGAAAAGCATGTTCTTCGTATATTATCAGCTAATAAGTAGTATTTAGTGCAGAATTTAGTGGGCTCTCAAGTGAGTTCCCACAGATCTAATTGAAGATAGCAGCTGAAGCAGTAGTACATGCGTGGGACTTCCCACTTCTGACAGCTTCTGATACCAATACAACACAAAGGGATTGGGTGTGTTCAAGTTACAGCTCTCCCAAAGCTGTATAGTCACAGGGGTTTTACATTTCTTTAAACTAGAAGTTAACTAAATCTCTTTGAAGGCCTAAATACTGAACATTTTTGATTGTGAATTAATCTTAGCTGAAACTATTACACTATTTTACTATACAGAAAACTGCCAGTATATAGTACATAGGGGATATGTTCCAGTAAAACTTTCACTAAAAAAGAAAGAAAGAAGGAAAGAAAAGCCTATATAGGTTTAGCCTATGGACCTTAATAGGTGGTACCTAGAAAACTAAATTATATAGAACTGGAGAGATCTTAGCAGTTAGGAGCACTGGTTGTTCTTCCAGAGAACCCAGGTCCAATTTCTTGCAGCCACATGATGATGTGAGGGCTCACAGCCATCTAGCTCCAGGGCTTCCAGTGCTGCCTTCTGGTCTCTGTGGATACCGAATGCATGTTATATACAGATACACATGCAGGCAGAACACCCATACGTATAAAATAATGAAATAATTAAAAAACCATAGGTAATGTAAAAAAACTATGCAATGAAATAAAATTTCTGATAATCCAGTGTATAATAATTAGTTTTATACCCTTTTTTAATTTCAAAATTGGCCTTATTAGATAACTTGTATCCTATGTTGTGATAATTGGCAGATACTTTCTAGCTTATACAAGAAGAAATGTACCATGTCATGTGGAGCTTGAACAATTACACTATTAACAAGTCTTTGTTATGATGCTTGTGTGTATTCTAAATTACTCATGTCTGCATGTGTGTGTGTTTAAATTAAATTTACTGAGTGCAAAAGTAAAGTTTATGTATACTTGCAAGTAATGAAAATATCACTGAAGGGATCCTCTGAGGGGGCATAGAGGATGACAGAATGGTGGTGTTGATATTGGCGTGTCCTTCTGTTGTTTGTTTGTTTGTTTTTTCAAGACAGAGTTTTCTGCATAACAATCTTGGTTATCCTCTTGTAGACCAGGCTGGCCTCAAACTCAGTGAGATCCACCTGAGTCTCCTTCCAAGTGCTAGGATTAAAAACGTGTGCCACCACGACCCAGCTGAGATATCCTTTTTTGTTCCTACCTTTTTCCTATTCGGGGATGTAGTTCAAATGCTACTGACGAAGTATTTTCTAATTTGAAGCACCTTTTAGAAATGCTCCTGAATGTGGCAGAAGAGCTAGGATTCGAGTTAGCTTAGGTTTGACTTTGTTTAGTTTCTCCATTTACAATTTTATCTGAGAAGGAAGAAATGAGAGTCTTTCTAATTTAGAAAATGCTAAACCAGGATAAGAAATTTCAGAACTCAATTATCTCTTAATCTCTTGCTTGTTTAAGGCCTGAAAGATGAATAGAAGTAATAACCCATTGAGATTAGCCCTCGGGATGGAAAAGAGTTATGCGAGCCCAGTTTTGTAGCTAGGATACATTTTTCATTTTTTGGGAAGAACAAAGTTACAATTGCAGATATATTGGAAAGTTCTAACTTAATGAGGTTAATTAAAGCATTAGTGACATTGAGAAACCTATTATTAAAACTTTACCCTTTATTGACTGTATTTTCTGTCTTTTGGTTTTACAATAACATTTTTGAGTAAGTGTTAAGTGAATACTCATGAAAATCGGATCATCTTTTATTTATTAAAAAGCCATGTCAACATCACCAGGTTCATACACCATTGACACTAGATAACTTATTTATGGAGTTTAACTGAGAATGAATGGGATTCCTTTGTGTTTTCCTTCGTAGTATTCAGCAGTCACTCACAGTTCTAGTTCCACGTGTCTGGCCATTTTTGCATCACACTATATCTTCAGTCCGAAGAGCAGCACTGGAAACTCTCTTCACATTGTTATCAACACAGGACCAGGTAAGAACTGATAGCTATAAATACAACCTCAAAACTTTTGTAAGTTAATTTTATAAAACAGAGCAGATCACTGCCTCCTCATTGCTAGCTATCAAAAAATCAGAATGCTTGGGCATAGTAGGTTTATTGTAACCATATAAACCTAAGAACATCATCAATATGAGATTAGAAATATTTTAGAATTTTGTTTCAGTGTTATATTCAGAACAGGGAGAAATGCTTAATAAATAGGAGATAATGAATATTTGTTAAGTGAGTTAGGGATTGAATAATTCCTTCCTATAGGAGGCATGTTAGTCTTTATTTATGGTTGGTAGGTGATTGGCAGAAACCATCCCAGGCTTCATTTGAAGCACTGAAGTAAAATTCCTTAACGACTGACTGCTGGATTCCCAACTTGCCTTTGCTTAAAAATTGCTGTCACAAGAGCATGCGTTTTCAAGGATTTTGTAATTTATTAGTCACATACTGAGATTCCCACAGCACTCCTTCAGGTCCTCTTAGTGTGAGCTGATGAGTCCTGTTTACATTCCTATTTTTGAAATAATTCTGGAGATTGAAGAAAATGTCAGGAAAAAATACCAATAAGATGTTATTGTTTGAGGCAGTCCTTTGTTTATATATTTATATATATAATTATATTTATTTGTGTGTATACATACGTATGTATGTATGTATGCATGCATGCACACACACAGACACCCCTCCCCCAGACAGGTTTTTACTGTATGGGCTTGGCTGCTCTGGAACTCATTATGTTAACTAGGCTGGGTGCCAGATGAGAGATATTTGTCTCCTCTGCCTCCTGAGTACTAGAATTGAAATTTGGGTCAGTCGAATTTGGATCTCAGTAAATTTGAGGCTAGCCTGGTTTACAAAGCGAGTTCTAGGACAGTCAGGGTTGTTACACAGATAAACCCTGTCTCAAAAACAAAAACTTAAAAAAAAAAAAGTAATAATACTTTGAAATGTTGTAATAGGAGCGGCGGGGCTGCGTCCCCAGCATCCCGGCTGCCTGGCTAGCTTATACCCTGAAATAATTACACAGACACTGTATTCTTTTAAACACTACTTGGCCCATTTCTATCTAGCCTCTTCTAGGCTAATTCTCACATATTAATTTAGCCCATTTCTAATCATCCATGTAGCCCACGAGGTGGCTTACCAGGGAGATTCTAGCCTATGTCCATCCTGGGTCAGAGCTTCATCGTGTGTGTCTCAGAGAGCAGAGCTGTTGCATCTCTCCGGGAGAGTGGAGCATGGCATCTCTGAGCTCACTTCCTCTTCCTCCCAGCATTCTGTTCTGTTTACTCCTCCCACCTATGTTTTAACCTATGAGGCCAAGCAGTTTCTTTATTACTTAACCAATGACCTTCCTCCATCATTGAAATATTATTGGGATTCATTTTATGCTTGGAACTGACTAGTACTTTACAGGAGATGGCTACTACTTTTTATATTTTGCAAAGGAGAGAACTAATGATAAAAAATTAGGAAACTTCCCCAGATTTACATAGATTACACAGCTCTTTCAGCTTTAACCTAAATTTGACATAAAAAGAAAATGAATTGTGTACCTACTGAATTGCTTTCAACTTCTGAATGTGAAATGAGCTTAAGTACAGAGTGAGAAAATGAGCCTGGTGTCTGAGTTCCTGATCACTGTGTTCCTTTGTCAGTTTCACACGCAGCTGTCACTTTTGAGTAATTGTGCAGTAGCTTGGTGGGTAAGGTCGCTGTAGCACAGTGTATCACCTCGTTAGATTTCTTCTGTTTACTCAAAAAAATTTTTATTGTTGTTTTGCCCATAAAATTGGGAGATTCTAAGAAGATACATTATTGTCAACGGTATAAAGACATGTGTCCACCATTATCAGTATCATAGACAGCTGTTTTCATTGCCCTCAAAGTCGCCTTTGTTCTTCTCATTTCCCAGCCTCTCAGAATCACTTGTTTTTCACTGTCTCCAGAGTTTTGCATGTGTCATGTAGTTGGAGTCATCAGTTTGGAACCTTGTTATTACTTCATAATATGTGTTCAAGTTTCCTTTGTGTGTCTCATGTCTTCATAGCTTATATTTTTATGGGTATCTTATACTCCTATTGTTTTGTTTTACCCTAATTTATTCATTCACGTATTGAAAGGATACCTTGGGTACTTTCAAGTTTTGGTAGTATACACATAAGGCTTCTATAAAATACAAGTTTTTATATGTATAAATACTTCCCTCCTGTGGGCAGATATTTAGGAGCCCACATACTAGACTCTACTGTAAGAATATGTTTAGTGGTGGCGCATGCCTTTAATCCCAGCACTCGGGAGACAAGAGGCAGATGGATCTCTGGTTTGAGGCCAGCCTGGTCTACAAGAGCTAGTTTCAGGACAGGCTCTAAACACGCCATGTTGCCTTTTCATCAATGCTCAGTACTCCACATTCTGGCCAGTGTATATATAATATTATCAAGTGTTTTTATTTAGGCCATTCCAGTAGGTGTGTGTCTCATTGTTGCAACATATCATGTGGACCATTTTCTTTTCTTTGTTTCTTTGTCATAGTGCTATGGACTAAACCCAGGTTTGACACTACAAGGCAAGAATTCTACCACTGAATCTATATGCCTGGAACCATTCTCCCCCCCCCCCCCCCCCCACCCCTTTTTCTTTTCCTTTCCTTTCCTTTCCTTTCCTTTCTTTTCTTTTCTTTTCTTTTTCTTTTTTCTACACAGACCTGGCTGTCCTGGAACTCACTGTGTAGACCATCCTGATCTCAAACTCAAAGATATGCCTGCCTCTGTTTCAGGAGTACTGAGATGAAAGGTGTATGCCATAATGCCCAGATTTCTTAGGACAGTTTTGAGAGAAAACTGAAGTGTTCCCATATACCTTAATCTCACAATATATACAGCATCCCCTCTGTGAACACCCTATATGGGAAAGGCAATCATTATTGTCAGTTGATTTGTATTGACCAAGTTTATAGTTTCCATTAGGGTTCCCCCTTGGTGTTTACAGTCTGTGGACTTAGATGCTTGTGTCATGTTTGCACAATTACATAGAATAGTCCTCTGTGCTCTCCCCATGAATTTTGTCCTCTCAGTCAGATTTGAATACTTAAAATGTATATTTATCTGCATTTGTAGTATGAGACAGCAAATATACTTTATATCACATTTTACTTGTTCTTAGTACAGGACAAACATCTTCCTTTAGAGTTGCAGTTTGGTGTCTACAGGTAACTGTTTAGATTGCCAGTGATTGAGATGAGGGTAAGAGAAGAAAGTCAGACTATTCTAAGTACCTTGTATTATTGATGATTATGTAGAATTTAAGTTTTGATCTTTTTGCCCAACAGCAGTAACTGAGCATTTCCCAGTTTCCTGACAAAGCAGTGATGTATGCTGATGACCCTGCTGCTTATAGCTTGGTTCTGTACTTCTTACTTATTTGGGAAAGATTTCATGTTAGGGTAAATCAGGGTCTTCCCACCATTTCCCTGTGATTATAGGATTGTGGAATTTTTAAGCCATTGCAATAATGATGTGGTACTTGTTGCCTTTTAAGTCTTACAAAAATTTATCACCAGTTGACTCTTTCTGATAAAGCCATTTGGTCTTTTCATGATAACGTTTGTGTTATTGACTTTGTCTTCATGTAAATTAATGTCCAGGAACTACATGTCATAAATTTGATTATGTTTTTGTTTTCAGAACTCTTCATCTTGGCTTATACCCATCCTGTCTGATATGCTGCGACACATTTTTCAGTTTTGTGTTTTAGAAAGCAGCCAGGAAATTCTGGATCTTATTCATAAGGTACGTGATGAATCTGTATTTCTTATCCTAATAAATTTGCAAATATAAATAAAAAAATAATTACTATGCTATTGGTGAGGGATTTTAATGAATTAAGCCAACTAAGATATTTGAAGAGTCCAGTAATCTACCAGATGGTCTAAAGACTAGGCTCCTTATAGAATATAATGTAAATTCTGGTTAGTTATGCTTCTTTGATTCTTCTTTCATTTATTTATGTATTTTATTTGTTTTGTTTTATATTTCTTATGGTTTATTTAACTTAATTTTATGTGCACTGGTGTGAAGGTGTCAGATCCCCTGCAACTGGATCTTTAGACAGTTGTGAGCTGCCATGCGGGTGCTGAGAATTGAACCCTGGTCCTCTAGAAGAGCAGTCAGTGCTCTTAACCACTGAGCCCCTTGTTTTTTGTTTTTTTGAGACAGGGTTTTGCTGTAGTTTTGGAGCCTGTAGTCTGGCCCTGAACTCAGAGAGATTGCCTGCCTCTGTCTCTAGAGTCCTGGTATTAAAGGCATGAGCCACCACCACCCTGCCCGATTCTTCTTTTTATATGTCCTATTAAGCTAATATTTTACTTTTTAAAAAGAGTTTATTTTCTTTTTAATAGTGGGGTGGGGTGGGGAGAGAGTGAGAAGAGGAGAGAGAATTTCTGTGGAGGTCAGAGGTATCCAGTTTCTTTTGTGTGGGGAGTTTATTGGAATATCTGAGACAGGGTCTCACATAACTAAGGCTGAGCTTAGCTTGCAACATAGCTAGGGTTGGCTTCAAACTCCTGGTCCTCTTGCTTTCGTCTCTCAATCCCGGGCTTTCAGATATTTTGAGTATCCCTGGCTTGGCATATTTAATTTATAAAGTCTTTTATAAACTATCAAATATTCTCTCGGTTTTTGTTGTTTGTTTATTTGTTCAGTAGATCCGTGTGCCTCAGGCTGACCCTGAACCCTAATCCTTCTGCTTAGTCCTCCTGCGGGCTTCATAGATGTGTACCACCATGCCCAACTCCTATATTCCTTTTTTGTTTTTGTTCTTTTAGGTTTTTCGATACAGAGTTTCTCTGTGTAACAGCTCTGGCTGTCTTTGAACCTCCTCTTGAGATCAGGCTGGCCTTAAACTCACAGAGACACACCTGCCTCTCCCTTCTGAGTGCTGGGATTAAAGGCCTGCACCACTTGTGCCTGGCTCTTACATTCCTTTTTTAAAACCTTTTTTACTGGGATGGAGATTGGCTCAGTGGTTGAGAGCACTTGTTGCAGAAGATCAGATTTGATTCCCAGCACCGGCATGGCAGCTCCTAATTATCTGTCCCTTCAGTTCTAGGAGATATGATAACTTTCTCTGACCTTCATGGCTACTGGTCACACATGTGCATATACATATATGCAGGCAAACACATATAAAATACACTCGTAAAAATCAATTTAGTCTTAAAAAAACACAACTTCTATTTTTGGGTGTGGTGTGTAGGATAGGGGACAGCTTTTTAGGAGTTGGTTCTCTCCTTTCACCATGTAGGCTCTGGAAACTGAACTCAGATTGTTAAGTGTGGTGGCATGTGACCTTACTCATTGAGTCATCTTTGTGGCCCCCAGGATATTAAAAAACAACAAAGCCAAAAACTTTTCTTTGCATATTTCATGTAGTGTAGAAACCTATCAACCAAATCAGTATTTCAAAGTGAATCTCTTATGTTGATTTTTCAAATGTATCTTGTGCTATATTGTATTCCCCCTAGTTCATTTTCCCTAAAAGTGTGTTTTAGATTTTGTTAGCACTTAATAGAAAAATTTGTTTTCTATTCTCCTTTTCACTTCATAGGTTTGGATGGAACTGTTAAGCAAGGCTTCAGTTCAGTATGTGGTAGCAGCTGCTTGCCCATGGATGGGCGCTTGGCTTTGCTTAATGATGCAGCCTTCTCATTTACCTATTGATTTAAATATGTTGCTAGAAGTAAAAGCTAAAGCCAAGGTAAGTATAGAGAGACCTAAGGGGTTTCTGTGTTCACCTCATTACTACCAATGTAGTAGCTGTTTGAGAAATTTGTATTTATTGCTTAATTCTAAGGGTGCCTTCATTAACATTAGACAGATTCAATTCTTTATTAAGACCAACAAACTGAATAGTAATTATTAGCAGTTAGTGTTTTTGTTTGTTTGTTTGTTTTTCGAGACAGGGTTTCTCTTTAGTTTTGGAGCCTATCCTGGAACTATCTCTTGTAGACCAGGCTGGCCTCAAATTCAGAGACCTGTCTACCTCTGCCTCCTGAGTGCTGGGATGAAAGGAGTGCACCACCACCTCCTGGCACCCTTAGAATTTGTTTTGTTTTGTTTTTGTTTTTCTGAGACAGGGTTTCTCTGTGTAGCTCTGAAGCCTGTCCTGGAACTAACTCTTGTAGACCAGGCTGGCTTCGAACTCATGGAGATTCGCCTGCCTCTGCCTCCCGAGTGCTGGTATTAAAGGCGTGCGTGAACCCTTAGAATTTTATGAAAAGAACTACATTTTACTAGCTTTGTTGTTTCCAGTAAAATTTTATTGCTTAATCTTTAATTATTGCTTTTCCTTCCTGTTTTTCCTCTAGGAAAAAACAGGTGGTAAGATACGGCAAGGCCAAATCCAGAATAAGGAAGTGCTTCAGGAGTACATTGCAGGTGCAGACACCATCATGGAAGACCCAGCTACAAGGGATTTTGTAGTTATGAGGGCCAGGATGATGGCAGCTAAGTGAGTATTCATCAAGTGTCGAGTATCATAGTTTTAAAATTGTGGCTAATAGCTATAACTTTTAACCAAAAGATTTTTTTTTCATGTCTCTTCCTTTATACTAGTTATCTAAGAAAAATTAAAGCAAATAAACATTTTTAAGTTTTTGAAGCTTTAAAAATAGGTGGTTGGGTGGTGGTAGCCCATGCCTTTAACTTGAGAGGCAGGTGGGTTTCTGTGAGTGTGAGGCCAGCCTGGTCTGCAAAGAGAGTTCCAGGACAGCCAGGACTGTTACACAGAGAAACCCTGTTGTTTTTTTAAAAAAAAAAAAAATGGGGGACTGGGGTGTAGTTTTGTTAGTAGAATGTTTATTTAGCATGTCCCAGGCTCTGGATTTGACCCCAGATAGCACCTAAACAGTGTGGTGGTGCACACCCGCATTGTCCCTTCAGAGGTGAAGGGAAGGGGAGCAGGGATTCAGAGTTATCCTCAGTGATGTAGAGAGTGAAGGACCAACTTGAATTATGTTAGACCTGTATCAAAAACAAAATGAACTATCTCCTGTCTTCATGAAAATAAGCTAGAAGATAAGTTATAGTTTTATGGGGAAATTTTTAACTTTAGTAAGAGAAATTTTTCTTCAAGTAATTTTTATAGTATGGTCTTTCCCTCTCTTTTAGGTTGTTAGGAGCACTTTGTTGCTGTATTTGTGATCCAGGTGTAAATATGATAAACCAAGAAATTAAACCAGCAGAATCCCTTGGCCAGTTACTTCTATTCCATTTGAACTCCAAATCTGCTTTACAGAGAATTAGTGTTGCATTAGTGATATGTGAATGGGCCGCTTTACAAAAGGTAAGGTATATTCCTAAAGTAATGAAGGCAGATTTAGTAAGACCAGTTTCCATTAGTATTTAGGACTATTTATAACTTACGATATAAAAGTAGAAGCAATTTCTTTATGAAAATCTAGCAGTTATGGGAAAGTATTCCATATCATATTGAACATTATTTGTCATCTGTTTAACTTTTTTTTAGCACCCCATTCATACCTGAGACTGCTATGCTATGTTCATATAGTATCTGTCCATCCCTACAGTCTGTTACAAAGCTCCCTGTTAAGACTTCTGTGTGTATAAAAAGAAGCAAGCCAGCGCCTGACTGTGTAATCCAGTTGGTCATTACTTTCAGGCAGCACATTTTCAGTCACTTGTGTTTTTGGAGCTCTATCTGTATGGATAGTAACAAAGGCAGAAGTTGTGGTCACAAGAAAAGAGATCTCTACATTTAAACTCAAATCTTCATTTCTAGATGAGCCAACTTCCCTTCTAGTCTCTTTAACTTTAAACTTCTATAAGATGTATGATTTTATGTAAGATTTATTTCTGGAAATTTAACTGTCTGCACTTGCTGTGAGAGTTGCTTGTTACTGCCTCTTAGCAGTTTGTCAAAGCTGTGTCTAAAAGTAATTGAACCATGCTTTATTGCAATTGAGACCCTACTTTGCCTCTAGAAAGAAGCAAAGCTTATCTGTTTTGTTGTCAGGACTCCATGTGCTGGAGAGGCAGTGATGCTGTGTTTTTGTGCCTCTCAGACTCAGCAGCAAGTGTTGACAGTTCGGTTTCTGGAACCTCACAGAGCTTCTCTGGATTTACTCTGTGAAGCCCAGGCTGATCACCCAGATCCCACAGAACCCCTCATGGCTCACCACTGAGGCCATTCCCCCTCTTGTTGGGGCAGGCAACAACCAGAGAAAGTGGGAAGGGTTAGTTAAATTTGGGGGCAGGTAAGTTGCTTTTAAATTATATCCATTTTTACAATACAGCATGTGAAGCTGTGGTTGAACCTTTAAAGATACCTAATATCAAATTTTGAATAATATTTTTAGTGCATGCCAGATTGTTTTCTGACTGGTGTTTATAGTAATATACTTCTAAATGTCTGCTCTATTTATTTGTTTGTTTGTTTGTTTATTTGCTCATTTATTTATATGCATATTTTGAGTAAATTCAGAGTACACTAAGAATAATTAGGTTGAAAATTAAATCCAGTTATAGTGGTTACATGTGCATGTCCTGTAGTCATATTAAATTTTCAGAGCAGTTTTGATGTAATATTTTTTCTTTGTGTAAATAACTGTTCTGAAAGGTAACAGACTATAGATTCAAAATCAGTGGCAATGTAGTCTTTGGTTGTCTAAAGTCAAGATTTAAATGTCTTACCATTATATTTCTATATTTTTCCTGAATCTTGTTATCTGTTGTATTTTAGGAGTGTAAAGCTGTTACCCTAGCTGTGCAGCCACGTTTACTTGATATCCTTTCAGAACATTTGTATTATGATGAAATTGCTGTTCCATTCACAAGAATGCAGAATGAATGTAAACAGTTTATATCATCATTAGCTGATGCACATATTGAAGTTGGTAATAGAATAAACAACAATGTTTTAACAATAGATCAAGCTAATGACCTGGTGAGTAAAGAAGTACCTTTTTAAAAATTTTATTTATTCTTTTTTCCAGACAGGGTTTCCTCTGTCACTTTGGAGCCTGTCCTGGAACTAGCTCTTGTAGACCAGGTGGCCTCGAACTCACAGAGATTTGTCTGCCTCTGCCTTCTGGGTGCTGGGGTTAAAGGCTGGCTAGAAATGATTTTCTTAATTTTACGCCATGAAATAAAGATTGGAAATGTGCCATGCTGTGTCACCACAGAAGCGTACCAATATGTTGAATCTGTTTGTGAAATGGTATCTTGTCATCCTGTTCTGTAGAAAGATTATTTCAGGGCTGGAGAGATGGCTCAGAGGTTAAGAGCACTGGCTGTTCTTCCAGAGGTCCTGAGTTCAATTCCCAGCAACCACATGGTGGCTCACATCCATCTATGCTGAGATCTGGTGCCCTCATCTGGCGTGCAGGCCTACATCGAGGCAGAATGTTGTATACATAATAAATAAATAATTAAAAAAAAAGAAAGATTATTTCATTGTGCTCAATTTCTTGAAATTATAGGACAGAGAACTATTCAATACATCTTACTGGAAAACTTGCCAAGTTTTGTCACTTATTGGTGTATCATAAGGTTTTGGTAGATGGGAAAACTGCTTCTACAGCTTATTTAATACATCTTACCAGAAAACTTGTGTGCTCTTCCAGAGGACCCAGGTTCAATTCCCAGCACCCACATGGCAGCTCACAACTTGTCTGAAGATCCAGTTCCAGGGGATCTGAGACTTCACACCAATGCATATAAAATACAACCATTAAAAAATATTTAAAGAAAAAAAACTATAGGTTCTTGGCCGGGCAGTGGTGGTGCACGCCTTTAATCCCAGCAGAGTGGAGGCAGAGACAGACGGATCTCTGAGTTCTAGGCCAGCCTAGTCTATAAGAACAAGTTCCAGGACAGGCTCCAAAGCTATAGAGAAACCCTATCATGAAAAACAAACAAGCAAAGAAAAGATAGATTCTTTGTAGGAATGGAGGCAAATACCTACAGTCCCAGCATGCAGGAGGATGACGTTGTGCTACTTGGTGAAACTGTTCCTGTAACCAAAATAGAAGCAAAAACTCAATACCCATGACAAGTTTTGCTTTTCAATGTTTACTTGTTTTGTGATCAGTAATTATCAGGCTGTTACCTATTTATGAAAGCTCTTAAATGTGCTTACCCGGCAAAGATGGCCAACCCACTTACTTACTTAATTATTTACTCATTTGTTTATTTGTTTATGGGTGTGTTTTGTTTTGTTTTGTTTGAAACAACATTTCTCTCCGTAATCTTGGCTGTTCTGGAACTTGCTTTGTGCAACCATACTGGTCTTGAACTCCATCTGTTTTTGCCTCCTGAGTGCTGGGGTTAAAGGTGTGAGCTCCCACTGCCTGGACTATTTTTGTTATATAAGCCTTTACACAATCTTGATGTGCATAAAATTTCAGAGCAACATTACTTATAATATTCGGAAGATAGGAGGAACCCAAATATTAATCAACTGAATGGATAAATGAAATGTAGGATAGAAAAGTTATATATGAAAGTTAAATATTGTTTGACAGAAAATATCATTACATGCTGCAACATAGATGGACCTGAAGAACATTACTTATATTGAGATTTCATACATATGGAGTAGCCAAAATAAACCTATTTTTATAAGAGGGAAATAGGTTCCATAATACTGGGGAAATGAGGAGTAATTGCTAATAGGTAAGAGTTTTCTTTTGGGATTGATAAAAGTGTTTTCACTGTGGTGAGCCATAGTTCTTAAAACCACTGCATTATTTACTTCACATGAGTTAACTTACGGTACAGGAATTATATCTTAATAAAATTAAAATGATGAAGAACAGTCTTTTAATGTACTCTGTCACAATGGGATTGGGCCTTCTACAGTGGTCACTGCATCTGTTTGCTGTTGTTTCTGGAGTAGAGAAGTAGTTTGTAAATTTTGATATTCCTCAAACTAACAGTTTGTATTTGCCTGTAGCTTTCATATTTTACCAGTTAGGGGAAATTTGATATATTTAATAGTAATTTTATTTCTCTTAAGAGACTGTCCCTTTTCTTAAGCTTATTCAATATTACAGCAAATCTTGATACTATGGGAGACAAGTGAAAGAGAAAACTGCCATTTAGGATTTTCGAGTTTACCTGGAGTTGTTGTAATTAATGATTTTTCGTTTTTTCTTCTTTTTTTTTTTTATTAGGTAACTACTGTTTTTAATGAAGTCACATCAACTTTTGATCTAAATCCTCAAGTGTTACAGCAGTTAGATAGTAAACGCCATCAGGTCCAAATGACAGTTGCAGAGACGAACCAAGAGTGGCAAGTGTTGCAGTTGAGAGTGCATACTTTTGCTGCATGTGCAGTTGTGAGCTTGCAGCATCTTCCGGAGAAGTTAAATCCTATCATAAAACCACTAATGGAAACAATTAAAAAAGAAGAGAATACGCTAGTACAGAACTATGCTGCTCAGTGCATAGCTAAGCTTCTTCAGCAGTGTACAGCAAGGACACCATGTCCTAATTCAAAAATTATTAAAAACCTCTGTAGCTCTCTTTGTGTGGACCCATACCTCACTCCCTGTGTAACATGTCCAGTACCAACACAGAGTGGCCAGGAAAATTCTAAAGGTATATATCTAAACCTTTATTTGCACAGAGAAGGAATTGACCATTTAAGTTTGTTTTACCATTAAATTATAGTTATAATTTAAGCATAAATGGAGTTCCTTTTAGAGCCTACCCCCCATTTCCTATTCTCCATGAACAAAGAAGTTGTCTTATAAGTATGTGTATTTGCCAATCAATCAGTCCTCTTACATGCAAATTAGCTGTACATATAAGAAGTGATGTAAGTCAGCTGAAGCCCGTGTTCATCCTTCCTTAACCTTTTTTTTTTTTTTTTTTTTTTTTTTTTGGTTTTTCGAGACAGGGTTTCTCTGTGGTTTTGGAGCCTGTCCTGGAACTCGCTCTTGTAGACTGGTCTCGAACTCACAGAGATCCTCCTGCCTCTGCCTCCCGAGTGCTGGGATTAAAGGCGTGCGCCACCACCGCCCGGCCTTCCTTAACCTTTAAAGTCATTGTATGGCTTCTTATAACTAGGCTAGAAAACTAGTTAAATCAAATGTTAATAATTTGGTTCCTTAATTTAGTGCCATGATACGATGTAAGTGAAGTCTGTTTAATAATGCCAAATAAGCAAGTTTTCTATTGTCATGTAGAAAATTTATATGGAAAACAGCTCTTTCATTAAGATGATTTCAGAAATAAGACTAACACTGGTGTAGTCATATGACTGAGTCTTACGATTTTTTAATCAGTAAGATTTTAGAAAACCTAAATTATACACAATGTAATGGACTTACAACTTTAAAAAACAAATGAGAAGGAAGAAAGTTCTGTACTTGTCCTGGAACTCACTCTGTAGACCAGGGTGACCTCAAACTCACAGAGATCGGCCTGCCTCTTGTATCCTGATTGCTGGGATTAAAGACGTGCACCATCACCGCCCAGCTTCAATATAAATTTTAATTCAAGTAGACAACTTTGTTACCATTTCATTGTCTAATAACAACATCCTCTATAAAAATTGAGGTCTTACTCAGTTTAAAATTACATTATGTCTCTTTAGGAGCAGGAAGCATTTTCTCATCTATATTTTGATTAAATGGCTATTTTCTTTATTAGGCTCCAACTCAGAAAAAGATGGGATGCACCATACTGTCACCAAACACAGAGGTATCATTACACTCTATCGGCATCAGAAAGCAGCTTTTGCTATCACAAGCAGGCGAGGTCCTATCCCCAAAGCAATCAAAGCTCAGATTGCAGAGCTGCCTGCGGGGAGTAGTGGGAATGTCCTGGTTGAACTTGATGAGGTAAATGGTTTTTTTCTCCTTTTCTGAATGCTTGTACTCTTTAAATAATTAGTTTCTAGATGAAGAACCAAGTTGTCTTATTAGCTGTCAGAATTGTATTTTTGTGCTTACAAGTGAATTGATAGCTTTTTGAAGCATGATTAATAAAAACTCAGAGTTAGAAATTGGGGTTCGACTTGAAGATCTGAAAAGCAAAACAATTAGCCACTGGCTCTCACCATGACCTCAGTCCAAAATGGTGATCCTGCCTCCAGGAATCTCAGAATGAGACTGAGAGCTGCCTCCTCCCGTTTTTTAATCCTCTCGGGCTGGGATTAAAGGCATGCACCACCCGGTTTCTATGGCAATTAGTGTGGCTACTAGGATTAAAGGTGCGTGTTGTGGGTACTGGAATTAAAGGTGTGTGTCATTGCTGGCTGGTCTGTAAGTCTGGCCAGTGTGGCTGTTTTACTTTCCCGATCTCCAGGAAAGCTTTGTTTATTAAAATACAAGTGAAATGCCACTACATCTTTTTAAAGTATTTTAGCAATATTACCAGAAAATTTAATTTAATTTTTAAATTTCCTATTTCTCTTCTAATTTATACTAACTTAGCTTGCTTGGTAGCTACCCTTTTTTTATTGTAGGTACATAAACTATTTATAAATGTAAGCCAACTCACACTCAGAGCCTTGGCTGCAAAGATCATATTAAATGGCAGTGGCGACTAATCTTTCTTTATCCTGTCAGTGCCAAGAATTCCTAGTGATATTCTGAGAAAATTTTTATATTAATACCTACCGCTAGTTAACCAGGTTTTATATTAGATGTGTTTTCCCAGGGTAAGGAACAAAATCTAATTTTCCTATAAACACTATGAAATACTTTCATCTCTGATTATAATGGCATATCAGTATAATGACATCTGCTCTAAAGATGCTTCCTATTTGTAATGATTTATATGAATTTTCCATCCTATTCTGTTATAAACTACTGAAAATTATCCTCTGTGTGTGTTTATGCATCTATCTCATGTATTTCAGGCTGACTGAAAACATAATGATATAGCCAGGGATGACATTGAACATCTCATCCTCCTGCACGCACTTCCCAAGTGCAACCACACGTGGTCTATTTGTCTAGTCAGTACTGGGGATGAAACTCAGGGCCTTATGCATGCTGGGCAAGCACTAGGCTAACTGAACAACATCCCTGGCCTATAACCAGTATTTCAGAAAGGTCTTTAGGCTGGGTGTGGTGGTAAATACCTGTAATGAATGAACAAGAGTGCAGATAGTATTGCAGGGCATGGAATGTAGGCAAGTGCTTTGCACTCTTCTAAGTCATAGCCACAGCCCTTACAGTAGCATATTAGCAGTGGGGTGACTGTCCCGTTCTTTTGATTGTAAGACTTGGACACCACAGTAAACTGTTAGTACTAAAAAGATTGTTTTCGTAAAATGGGGGCCGTGGATAAGTTTCAGATTAAAATCAGTATTCTACTGTTTCTTCTGAAACATTTTATAAATCTATTTCACTGATTATCTCTCCATTATTTTCATGATTTGATACTTACAGCTCTTTCTTTTTCTTTTTCTTTTTTTTTTTTTCCTTTTTGGTTTTTCTGAGATAGAGTTTCTCTGTATAATAGTTCCAGTTGTCCTTGAGGTCCCTTTGTAAATCATCCGGACTTAGAGCTCTCAGAGATCCACCTGCCTCTGCCTTCTGAGTGCTGGGACTGAAGGTGTGCGGCACCACCACCTGACTTCCTTTTGTCCTTTTTGGTGTGGTCCAGGCCAGCCTCAAGCTCTTAGTTTACCTCAGCCTCCTGAGTGTGCCACCGTGCTCTGCATATCTTTTCCACTTTAATTTAAAACTCTGTATTTTTTGAGAGAAGCCAGTTTTATGACTCTAAATAAATAAAAAAGTATAACCCTTGGGATTAGCAAAAACATGTCCATCTCCCTGGATGATTTTAAATAAGAAGCTGGGCAGTGGTGGCACACGCCTCAGGAGGCAGAGGCAGGTGAATCTCTGTGAGTTTGAGTCCATCCTGGTCTACAGAGCGAGTTCCAGAACAGGCACCAAAGCTACACAGAAAAACCGTGTCTTAGAAAATTAAAAAAAAAAAAAAAAAAAAAAAAAGAATAGATGGTTTTGGGTGGGCACATACCTGTAATCCCAACACACTCAGGAGGCAGAGATGGGTGGATCTCTTGAATTTGAGGTCATCCTGGTCTGCAAGTGAGTTCCAGGACAGCCAGGGGCCACACAAACCCTGGGTGGGGTGGGGTGGGGTAGGGTGGGAGGAGGAAAATAGATAGTTTCATCTCTGAGACTGCTGTTTCTTTGGGGCAAGGAACACTAAAAAAAAATGCCACTGGTGACTGTCTCTAGAAGTCATGTGTCCTTTTATTTCTTATTTTATTCCTATTTTAAACAATAACATTAAAAAATCCAGTTATGAGTTTTAGGCCCGCATGGAGCCCATTATTGGAAGATGCTTGTAATGCTCCTAAGTACCATCTAGTAACTGCTCCATTGACTAGCAGCAGTATTCTCGGTGTTTAGAGGGTGACTTTGAAATCCTTTTGATTAAAATTTTAATGCATAATGCTTTTTTTCTGAAATTCTTCTTTGAACTAACATTGGGCTGTAGGGTCAGAAGCCTTTCCTGGTACAGCGGAGAGGAGCTGAATTTGCGTTAACAACTATAGTGAAGCATTTTGGTGCTGAAATGGCAGTGAAGTTGCCACATCTTTGGGATGCTATGGTTGGCCCACTGAAGGCTATGATTGACCTAAATAATTTCGGTATGTGTTCATTTTAATCAGTTCTGGTTTTTCAGTATATTTTATATATCCTTTTAAAAGAAATGTGTTTATGCCGGGCGGTGGTGGCGCACGCCTTTAATCCCAGCACTCGGGAGGCAGAGGCAGGCGGATCTCTGTGAGTTCGAGACCAGCCTGGTCTACAAGAGCTAGTTCCAGGACAGGCTCCAAAACCACAGAGAAACCCTGTCTCGAAAAACCAAAAAAAAAAAAAAAGAAATACACACAGACAGAATATTGTATACATAATAAATAAATAAATATAAAAAAAAAAAAAAAAAAAAAAAAAAAAAAAAAGAAATGTGTTTATCTCTATTTATCTTAAACCAGTAGGTAAGTTTTAAAATGGAAGACTTGTGACTTTCATGTTATTCTATATGCTTTCCCCTTTTATATATTTAACAATAGATTTGGAAGTGGATTAATATCTTAACTCTGTTTGGTTGCTATAAGTGCAACTTATAGCACTTAAAGTCACTTTATTTTTCATACAAAAAGCTTTGTTGACACTTGTATACATACTAGCTCAGAGGGTACTAATATTTTTTGTGGTCTCTAGATTTTGAAAATTATTTTAAAAGTGATATAACTTTTATTTGAACAGATGGAAAGTCCCTCCTGGAAAGAGGTGATGGTCCTGCTCAAGAATTGGTAAATTCCCTGCAGGTTTTTGAAATAGCAGCAGCTTCGATGGATTCCGCGCTTCATTCCTTGGTAATTAATGTGTGTGGTGCTTCTTCAGATGAAACAGATGGTCATGTTAGATAACTTAACACTTGAAAATACAAGTTCCTCCTTGAAAAATACCAGTTAGTCCTTTTGCATTAATGGAATTAAAAAAAAATTCAGTGTAACTAGATTCTTCCTTATTGGTACAGGGGTGATAGAAAACCCAATTTGGAAACTCAAGCATTGTGGAAAGGGTTCTAAAGGAAAGGTGAAGAGCAAAGAGAAAGAAAATTGTAGGCTGTAGAGACCAATAGTAGGTAGAGCTCCACGCAAGGAAGAGCTCGGGCTGAGGGATGCCTTTTCAGGATAAGCAGGTGATCATGTTCTAAGATACAACTGGTCACTGGTGTGAGGCTTTGGCTTTGGCTTGATTTTTATTATTACACTTCTACCAGAAGAGTTTGCAGAGGGAAGAGGAGAGTAAAAAATTACTTGGTTAAAAAAAAAAATCTTTCCATATATCTACATTGGGGAGGCTCTTTGCAATTTATTGTATTGTAACAGTTTTAGCTTTACTTTTCTATAACTGCAACATTAAAATAAGTTTTATAAAAGTGAATCTGGGCGATAGCAGTTAAGAATAAAAGTATGTCCTTTTACTTATTACAAATTTCTGATAGTTCCTACTGGCCATGTCTATTTCCCAGTTTATTGGGACATTCGATAGAAGTCTGTATATAGAAATTTGAGGCCAGCCTGAACAACAGCAAGTCCCCATCTTGAAGAAAGCTCTCCCCATCTTCTTATATTAATAAAGAAAGAATTCCATCTTTATCCACCCTGTACTCAACTGAAATATGAGGCTGGCCTCACTGTTGAACAGTTGCTTGGCTATCATAATGTTCTATGCAGTGGACATTTAAGATGAGATGCTGTTGCAATCATAATGCTGGCACCTAGAACAAAATCAGGAATGCCAAACTCTGTAATTATTCCCTAATAAGTATTGTAATTGCTGTTTTGTTTTTGTTTTTGTTTTAGCTGGTCCAGCATTTGCCTCATTTGTATATGTGCCTTCAGTATCCCAGCACTGCAGTGAGGCACATGGCAGCTCGCTGCATAGGTGTCATGAGCAAAATAGCTACCATGGAAACAATGAACATTTTTTTAGAGAAGGTACTCCCATGGCTGGGAGCAATTGATGACAATGTCAAACAAGAAGGTGCAATTGAAGCACTTGCCTGTATCCTTTATTTTGCCGAACTTGAAAAATTTTATTCATATTGAAGATTAACTCAAAGGTTTACTCATTTTAAAATACACTAAATCTCATTTATTACAAAATGACAATTTTCTACATTTTATTTTGAAGTATTTTACATTTTATTGTGATTTATTATGATTATGTTTTATTATTAAAATTTCATATAAAATTAAAAAATTGCTTCAGATGGGTAGCTTTTTAATAAGCATAGCGACTTTATGTAATTTTAAACTAGTAACTGATCTATTTGTCTTATGTTTCAATAGTAATAATTAAATACTAGGTCGGTTATATTTACCTTAAATGTATGTTTCCAAACTATGTTCTTTTTTTTTTTTAGGGGAATATGATTAAAATAGTAAGATAATTCATCATGTAAACTTTTGCTTTATACTGAAATATACTAAATCTAGAGATGTACTGCAAGCTCTTTTTAAGGACACAGCAGCCATTGTTTGATTCAGAATCTGTCAGCCCCATGTGTCAAAGCAAGAAAGGTGGATAAGGCCAGATCAGTAGAAACCTGGTTCAGAATTTTCATAGCCACAGGATTAGGTGCAGTCTATGCAGGCCATGATTCTTATGCTACTGGTGGAATCGGAATTAATCTTAGTGTGGCACTGAATTGTACTCCCTACTTTTAGTGTGATTCTGTTATTCTGAATGGATATCCTAGGGACATATTTAGTAAGTTCTTAATAAAATTTTCTCCATTTACCTTCAGACAAAACCATAATTTTATATATATACACACACACACACACATATACATATACACACACACACACACGCATACATGCTGGAGAGATTGCTCAGTAATCGCCTGGCTGACCCAGAAGTCAGTTTTTAAGAATGTAAAGTTTGTTGATGATGCCAGTGATTAAGCCAGGAGTGGTTGTGCATGCCTAAAAATTGAGGAGGTTGGGATAGGATAGCTACCAGTTTGAGATCAACCAGGGATTTTGTGAATTCATGAGTGCAGTAGACATCATCCAGCAAGCAGAATTTTGGGTTACCAACAGTCTTGCCAAGATGCTTGTGCAATAATGGCATGGTGATGGTTATGGGTGCGACCAAATACCTTTTTTTTTTTAAACATACCAATCCCAGTTCTCCTCTTCTCTTCCTGCTCCCCCTTCCTCCCATCTGCTCATCAGAGAGATTAAGACACCCCCCCCCCCCCCGGAAGTGAGCCAGGACTGTTCCATCCCCTCATTGAGGCAGGGCCGAGGAAATTGTGTGTCGTATCTGCACCTCCCCCCTCCCGTCCCCTAGCCCTGGTACCTAGACTGAGCATGGTATCTCTCCATAGAGAATGGGCTCTACGAAGTCAGTTGATGCCTTAGAGTTATATCCTGGTCCCACTGCCAGTAGCAGAAGCCACACCGTTGTCACATGGTGATGTGGGACTCCCCTCTGTATGCTGTGAATACCATTGGTTAATAAAGAAACTGTACAGAGCAGACTAGAGGTATGCAGGGAAAACTAAACTGAATGCTGGGAGAAGAGAGAGCCGAGTAGGGCACTGAAACTTGCCGATAAACCACAGCCACGTGGCCATCTGCAGATTAATAGAAGTGGATTAAGTTAAGATGTAAGAGTTAGCCAACAGGTTGGGCGGGTGGCACACACCTTTAATCCCAGCACCCAGGAGGCAGAGGCAGGCGGATCTCTGAGTTCGAGGCCAGCCTTGTCTACAAGAGCTAGTTCCAGGACAGGCTCCAAAGCTACAGAGAAACCCTGTCTCCTCCCCCCCCCCCAAAAAAAGATAGCCAGCAAAAAACTAGAGCTAATGGGCCAAGCAGTGATTTAATTAATAATACAGTTTCTGTGTGGTTATTTTAGGGCTGAGCAGCCTACAACAAACAAGAGGTCTTCTACTACAACCTGTATTCAAGAACTTAGTTCTGTCCCATGCAGGTTCCCCCGTTGTCAGTCAGGAGTCAATTGTCAATCTGATTCTGTGGGTTTCCTATCATGGTCTTGACCCGTTTGTTCATATTATCGCTCGTCCCTCTCAATGCCTGGAGCTCAGCCCAGTGATTAGTTGTGGATCTCTGTATCTGCTTGCATCTGTTTCTGGAGCAATTTTATATTTTTACTTACAGTAGTTAAATAATGTTTTTAAAAGAGCACCAGCCTGTAAATATGGTTATAATTTGTAACAGACGTCATAATCTTGAGCCTGGCAGGATGGTATACATCTGTAATCTCAGTATTCAAGAGGATGAGGCAAGAGGATTAAGATTTCAAAGCCATTTTAGGCTTATAGAAGACCCTGTTTCAGGAAGCTATAAGAAACAAAACGGTCAGGATATATTATGTACATGTGTGAAAATGAGGGTTTTTTTTTTAATGCTGAAGCTACAATCTTGGTATGCTAAAATATGTGAAGACATTACCTGGGAACTATCTTGAAATTTCTTTAACAGCTTACTCAGGTGTTATGGAACAATTGGATGTTGGTATTGTTCCGTATATTGTCCTTTTAGTTGTTCCTGTATTGGGAAGAATGAGTGATCAGACAGACAGTGTGAGATTCATGGCTACTCAATGCTTTGCAACATTAATTAGACTGATGCCACTTGAGGTAAGTTGAAGAGATTTTGGTTCACAAATATAGTGTGTTCTATAACATAACAACAACAACAACTATTTTTAAACATTTATTTTGGCTGGGGGTGCATGTGCCTGTGAAGGTCAGAGGATTGAATTCAGGTCTGTCCTTTTATAATAATACCTCACTCAGTTTAAAGGACCATAATGTATCCCTTCCCCCAAACAAACATGTAAACACAAAACAACCCTGCTGTGTTAATGTGTATCTTATATCTCCATGAGTAAAATTTGTTTAAAAGAATAACAGTTATGTGATGATCCAGAGTTGTTAATTATAAATATTTTATAATAAAAATGTTTATGGTACTAGAAATTGAATGTAGAATCTTGTACATGGCAGGCAAGTGTCCCAACAGTTAGCTACACCACCAGCTCATAAATATTTATATCGAGAGTATGATGAGCTGAGGAGATTACCCAGTGGGTAAAAGTGCTTCCTGTACAAGTCTGAGGACCTGAGATGATGTGACCACACATGCCTGTCCCTCCCGTCACTGCTGGCTCCCAGCCTGGCTCTAGGTTCAGTAAGAGAGAGACTGTTTGAAGGGATGGTGCTGGAGAGTGATAGAGCCGGACATCTTCCTTTGGCCTTCATGCATGTGCACATACAGGAGCATGTGCATTGCATGTGTGCACACAATCTGTCAAATCAATATTGAAACATAAGTTTGGATACAGTCTATGAACATCACAGTATGTGAAAGAATACTGATGTGTTTAAATTTTTAAGGGGGAAAATAGGGCTAGTTTAGCACACAGTTAATAGTCTCTAAGTGTTTCTCTTCCCTTTCCCACCCCCGCCCATATTTTTTATTTTGAAAAGGAAGAGTTTTGTATATAGTTGCAATTTGTTTATTGCTCAAGGATGAGACTTAATAGCTCTTCCATTTTCACCAGCCTAGCAAAGGCCTTCCTCAGTGGAGCTTGCTGTGGAGTTATAAATGACACTAGACCATTTGGTGCTCCTCCTAAACCCATACTGTATTTTGAGATTCAATACCTGAGGATATCAGGACAGTATGAAACTGATAGTTTTCAAAAGCATGGAATGTAAATTAGATAATATATCATTGTTTCTTTATTAATACTTGTTGCAAATAAAGTCCTAATTGTGTTCTTTAAAATACCAAAGTATATTGTCTTTGTCTAATTCAAACACTTTTAACATCTTTCAAAATCTTTAGATTTATTCGCCCTCAAATCTTTATATTATTTTTAATTGCTTTTTTCTGTATGTATGTTTGTCTTGTTAAAACTGAAATTATTTTGATAACATTTTAGAATGAGAAGTAAACGGCATGGAATATCTAGTAAGATCAAGGCCTTTGGAAAACATAGTAAGACCTTATTCGACTTTGTGTTCCCCTCACACCTACCCACAGAACAAATATTAGTCAATATTTCTGTTTGAGACAGATCTCATGTAGCTCAGGCTGCCCTCAGACTACATAGCTGAGCATGAACTTGAATTCTGCCTCCAACCTTTAGTGTTATGATTATACAGTATAGTTTCACACAATGCTGTGGTTGAACTCAGGGCTTTTTCACGCTAGTAAAGCTCTCAAGAAATGAGCTACCTAGCCCATCGCCAGCCTAATTTTAATACATTTTAAAAATCATTTCAGGCAGGCATTCCAGACCCTCCAAACATGTCTGAAGAATTAATCCAGTTGAAAGCAAAAGAGCGACACTTTTTAGAGCAATTATTAGATGGGAAGAAGTTAGAAAATTACAAGATCCCAGTGCCAATCAACGCTGAACTGAGGAAGTACCAGCAGGTAAGGTCACTCTGCGCCTGTGAGTGTGAGACACTTTTTCTATCCGGTTCATTAAAGTCTCAATGTTGAAGGTCAATATGATTTCTTTTTTGCTCATAGAAAGATAGAGGTCCATGCAAATATGTTTTACAAGAAAAAATTCTTACGGTCTTTTTACATTTATAATTTTTCTCTACCTAACCTTCTAGGATGGTGTGAACTGGTTAGCCTTTCTTAATAAATATAAGCTTCATGGAATTCTGTGTGATGACATGGGCTTAGGAAAAACATTACAGTCCATCTGTATTCTAGCTGGAGATCATTGTCAGAGGTAATTTAAAATATTATTTCAAAATAAAGGTTCTAAATCCTAATGAATGTTAACAAATTGCTTAATTACTGTTTTCTTTTGTAAAGGGCCCAGGAATATGCAAGATCGAAATTGGCAGAATGTATGCCACTTCCTTCCTTGGTGGTTTGCCCACCCACGTTAACAGGTCACTGGGTAGATGAAGTAGGTAAATTTTGCTCCAGAGAATATCTCAATCCATTGCATTATACTGGCCCTCCTACTGAAAGGATAAGGTAAGAGCTGTACAAAAAAAGTAGCATATTTGTCAGAAGTGACCTGTAGTTATCTCTGATTATAACCATAGATACCCAGCTTAATGAAGGCGGTACTTTACAGAGATGTCAGTGAAGCCCACCGGAATGAAGGACTTGTGCCACTGTCCCACCCAGTGTGGTTCTAAGCATTCCCGGGAGAACCTAGTAGCGATCATGTCCGTTCTGCTCGTGCTCTTTTCTCCATTCTCTACATATTTCTCTGTTGCCTTTTCTCCTACTTAATATTTTTTTACTTTTGGTCCACAGTGGCTGTTGTAGATATACCATTGTTATTTCAACAATTGTGTACTCACAATCACCCTCTAAGGCACTGGTTCTCAACCTGAGGGTTGCAACCCCTTAAGGGGTCACATATCTGATACTTATATTATGATTCATAACAGTAGCAAAATTAGAGTTACGAAGTAGCAACAAAATACGGTTGGAGGTCACCACAGCATGGGGAGCTGTCTTAACTGTTGAGAACTTAACTGTTGAGAACTCTAAGGTGTACTTGTCTGAGATAATGAATTATAAAGTAGAGCTTCTGGGTCCAAGATCCCTTAAGTTTTTTAAGGGGACAGAGTGAGGATTTGAACATAAGCATTTCAAATGTTTGTACTAGAGCAACTCCATAGTGTCTCCTCATATTCATGAATTTGTAAATGATAGGAATTCCATTGCTTTAGTAAACAGGGAATATCAGTTCACTCCCTGGAATTTCAAGCCTGGATTATTGCTTTAGAAACAACTAAAATTATGTTTGTCCTTCCCAAACATAATTTTGTTGAATTGATATTCAACAAAGGGTAAATGGCCCTGGGCAGCCTCAAGCCCACATTCTCCTAGGTCAGTACTGAACATGATAGACTAGCTACAAATCATGTTCAGAGGATAAAATCTTATAAATAGTTCAACCTGGTTCTGTTGCTTCATCCCTTTGTTCATTATGGGGACATATGATTGATAAGCTTGACTTAGCCTGAGTGGTAAAGGAATGTGTCCCAAAAGAAGATACTGACAAAGTGTTGGCCGTATTTTGAGTTAGGTGCTCATCGTTTTTCTGAGTCAGGTGGCAGGTTTGCATTATAATGTGGTCTGTTAACTAGAGTAAACACAGATGCTCATTAGGCAGGTTGAAGCACTTTATAACAGTAGCTGTAATTACACTATTAAAATTGTGTTAAGATGGTGCTGGTGGTGCATACTTTTAGCCTTTAACCTTTAATTCCAGCACCCTGGAGGCAGAGGCAGGCAGATATGTGAGTTAGAGGCCAGCCTAGTCTACAGAGTAAGTTCCAGGACAGCCAAAGCTACACAGAAAGACCCTGTTAAACAAAACCAAACAAATGAAATAAAATCGTATTAAGAAATTAATAATTCTGTTTTCTAATTTTTCTTAAAGGTTGCAGCATCAAGTAAAAAGGCATAATCTGATAGTAGCTTCATATGATGTTGTGAGAAATGACATAGACTTTTTTAGGTAAGAATTCAAATATTCTTTAGAAAAGTTTAGTGTTGATAGGTAAGAGGGAGGGAGGATAAGATAGGATCATGTGGGTGCTAAATATGAATGACATACTTGGTGTACATATATGAAAATGTCAGCCAAACCATCACTTTGTACAGTAAATGCATGCTAATTTAAATTTAAAAACTTAGTTGGGAGAAAGCACAAAAGAGATTCCCAGGTTGCTGGAATATACTGTTTTGCTTTGAATTACACCTTATAAAATTCATGCATCTAGCCAACATCAGAATTGTAGATATTTTTGTATGTATCCTCTATTTCTGTGAAACATTTCTATTTTGAAAATAAGAAAAAAATTCATAAACATTTCAAAAATAAAAATTTGATATTGAAATTGTGAGCCTGATATTCTGCTTCTAAATTGCTCCTATGATGCCTGATATACAAGATAACAGTTTTTATTTATTTTTTCTTAGAAATATTAAATTTAACTACTGTATTCTTGATGAAGGCCATGTCATAAAAAACGGAAAAACCAAATTGTCAAAAGCAGTAAAACAGCTGACTGCTAACTATAGGATTATTCTTTCCGGAACACCAATCCAGGTAACTATTTAAAACAAAACCAAACCGGGGAGTGGTGGCACATGCCTTTAATTCCAGCACTCAGGAGGCAGAGGCAAGTGGATCTCTGTGAGTTTGAGGCCAGCCTGGTCTATAAGAGCTAGTTCCAGGACAGGCTCCAAAGGTACAGAGAAACCCTGTCTCAAAAAACAACAACAACAAAAAACAAATTTTCCAGGTGCCCTGGCATTTAGCAGTAAATCAAGAAGTCTTTTAGTTTATAAAGATAATAAAAAATTTCCAGGAGTTAAATTGTGTTTATAAAGGTTCTTTTGGCATATGGTAGTAGCTAAACTGGGCAAGTATGGTTTAGTTTGAGTTGGTTTTGGTTTTGGTTTTGTCTTGTTTTTAAGGCAGGATCTCACTATGTAATCCTTGACTGGTCTGCAGCCCACGAGAAAGACCAAGCTGGTCTCAAATTCATTGTAATCCTCCTGCCTCTGCTTCCTAAATATTGGGATTACAAGTGTGCATGACCGCACTTGGCCTTTCATATTGAATCTTTTAAAGATATTTTTTAAATATTTATTTATTTATTGTGTGTACAATATTCTGTCTGTGTGTATGTCTGCAAGCCAGAAGAGGGCACCAGACCTCATTACAGATGGTTGTGAGCCACCATGTGGTTGCTGGGAATTGAACTCAGGACCTTTGGAAGAGCAGGCAGTGCTCTTAACCACTGAGCCATCTTTCCAGTCCTTAAAGATATTTTACATTTATAATTTTAAATGTTGTGTGTGAGTGTTTTGGCTGTGTACTCGCTGCATAAGGAGCCCACAGAGACCAGAAGAGGATGTCACATTCTGTGATATTGTTGTAAGCCAACATGGAGGTGTTGGGAACTGAGTCCGGGTTCTCTTTAAGAGCAACAAGTTTGCTTTACCACTGAGTTACCTCACAATGTGTCTTATTTCCCCTTGCCATTATAGGCCTGTGACTAGCCCAGAACTCACTCTTTGTAGATCAAGGTGGGCTTGAAATCAAAGATCTACTTACCTCTTAAACTGGCCAAGTTTTATTAAAGATTATGCTTAAACTCTAATTTTAGGCTATGTAAATAACATTTGATGTATGTAACAGATTTGATTCTAATTCAGTAGTATTACTCAGCAATCTGGTTTAGCACTGAAAATCTAGAACCAACTGAGAAATGAATCACTCCACAGTAGAGATGTGAAAATTCAGTAGTTGTTCATATCTTACCTGGATGACCATCTCTAGTACGAAGATCACCTTGCACCTTGCTCATTTTCCGGTTGGTAGAAGGATATTCTCTAGCTCTAAAAACTGATGTTGTGGTCTCTTGTCTTTTTGCATCGGGGTTTTTCTACATAGCCCTGGCTGTCCTGGAATTACCTATGCAGACCAGGCTGACTTCAAACTCAGAGATCTCTGCTTCTGCCTCAGGAGTGCTGGGATCAAAAGGTTGTGCCATCACGCTTGGTTTACAATTCTTATTTTGAATTTATTTTTTGTAGTCACTGCTTATCTAAGGTAGTGGTTTTCAACCTATAGGTCTAGGTCTCAACCCCTTTGAGGGTTGCATATGAGATATCCTACATATCAGATATTTATATTATAATTTATAACAGAAGCAAAATTATAGTTATGAAGTAGCAATGAAATAATTTTATCATTGGGAGTCACCACAACATGAACTGTATTAAAGGGCTGCAGCATTTGGAAGGTTGAGAGCCACTGTGCAGAGGGTTAAACTGTGGCTAGTTTGTAAGCACTGCATATTTTCATCATCAGAGACAAGCTGTTCATTTACAATTTTTCCTAAGCTTACTAGGGATTTTGGCTTTTGGTGGCATTATTTTGTTATGTTGGGGATCAAACCTGGGCCTCAAAGATTTCAGGCAAGTGTAACCTCTGGATTAAATCCATAGCCTAAAGTTGGTATGTGTTGTAAAGCACATTAAAAGGAAGGAGAGCTAGCACAGCTTCTGGTAGCAGCGGGACAGGGAGGCCTTGTGTGAGGTTCAGCTGCTGCTGGGGGACAGATGGACTAATATTAATGGACTGTGAGCTTTCAGAACTTCTAGAGAAATCAAAGTTCTGATTGTCAAGGTACTGTAAATTGGGTTCATACATTTGGGGTGGCAGAGAATCAAAAGCAGCCCTGTCTTCCAAATTCCTAAGGATGATGCCAATGAACCATATAATCTAGCACTTAGAAGTCAGCCAAAGAGCCAAACCTAGGAGAAGTAGCAGGCTTGCAGTTTTCAGAAAGAAGCAACTTTGAATCTTAACTTGATAATAAAAGAAGAAATTGAAAACCCCAGTTGGATTAGAAAGAACTGGCTTCTTGTGGCTGGGATGACTTTCAGATAGGTGTCCATCATGAAACATACTTTATACAGAGAGCTACAAAGGAGCCTGTGAGGTCACAGTCCAGAAACAAAAGAATATTGAAGAATGAAGCAAAAATAAATACCTGGGATTATTAATGTCATTAAATTAACATATGCTGGTTATGTCTGGAACCACTTGATTTTGTAGCTGGTAATGCTGAATGTGAATTCCTAAATAGTTTTGTTAAAACTCACAGCAGTGCAATAGAGAGAACATGTGAATGAAATAAAGCTGCATTTACAAGTTATAAAAAAGGGAAAAGGGGGAATACTTTTAGGTTTTATTATTATTAACTGGTTTTTCAAGATAGGGTTTCTCTGTGTAGCCTGGCTGTCATGGAACTCACTCTAAAAGCCAGGCTAACCTTGAACTCACAGAGATCCATCTGGGATTAAAGTTGTACGCCACTATGCCCACTGACTTTTAGGGGTTTTGTTTTGTTTTTTTTGTTTTCAGGATGCTACTTGTACTTAGCTGAGACATCAGAAGGTTTGGGGTTTTGTCCAGTTGAAAGGCTAACACTTTTTCCCTTTTTCCTACTCCAATAGTTTAGGCTTTGAAGCTGTCAGATAGGTTTCTGCTCTTCAGAGCTTTATGGATCAGAAGGTTGTCCATGTTAGAGAGCAGCTGTCCATGCTGAACCAGAGCCTGGGCTGGATGAGGAGGCTTCTGGAGAGGAAAAAAGTGGGGAGGCACATTAGGATCCAGAAGTAATGGGATATGGTATTTTCAAAACTGAAGAAAAGATAATTGTTATTTTCTTTTATATTCAGAACAACGTTTTGGAGTTGTGGTCACTGTTTGATTTCCTTATGCCTGGATTTTTGGGTACTGAACGCCAGTTTGCTGCTCGATATGGTAAACCTATATTAGCGAGTAGGGATGCACGAAGCTCCAGTCGAGAACAAGAAGCAGGTAAGAAGGAGTTACAGTAAGTCCTCATGGTTGTATGATTTACTCTGAACACTTAAAACTGTGTTCTCGCCATTGACAGGTGTTCTTGCAATGGATGCACTGCACCGCCAAGTCCTGCCATTCCTTTTGAGAAGAATGAAAGAAGATGTCTTGCAGGATCTTCCACCTAAAATTATTCAAGACTATTACTGTACTCTTAGCCCTCTCCAGGTTAGGAATCTGCTCATTGTTGTGGTTGATAGAATATTATTTGTAGAACAGCCTTAAGTTTTATCAGATGCCTTATAGAAAATTAAACTCTTCCTGGTTTATTTAATGACTTTTTAGCTAGATTTTTTAAATCTTGCTGTTAATAGTAGAGTGTTGTTGATTGTTTTATTACTCTTTACTTTTTGGCTCTTTTTGACTCTTACGGGGGCTCAGCACCCAAAAATTCACACATGCAGAGGCTTATTTTTACTAATGAATGCTTCTCTCTAGCCAGCTTTTCTATCTTAAATTATCCTGTCTACCTTTTGCCTGTGAGCTTTTCCATTTTCTTACTTCTGTACATCTTTCACTCTTACTCCATGGCTGGCTGGGTGGATGGCCCGTGTGTCTTCTCCTTGCTCCTTCTTCTGCTCCCGGATTTCTCCTCCTGTTTATTCTCTCTGCCTGCTGCCCCCACCTGTCCTTTTTCCTGCCCTGCTGTTGGCCATTTATCTGTTTATTAGACCATCAGCTGTTTTAGACAGGCAAAGAATCACAGCTGCATAGAGTTAAACATATCTTTACATGGTTAAACAATTGTTGCAGAGCATAAACAAATATAACTCACTTTAATATTCTACAACAGTAACGTTTACATGAACCACACCTCACTGTAGTGGAGGAGACTAGAGGATTTCCCTCCAAAGGAAAATTATATTTTCTCTAAGGATAGTGATCTGAATTCTGTAGATTAAAATAGACCAGTGCTCTTCTCCCCTCCAAGTGTGAGGAAATAATCCTCTGGAGTCTGGCCCCAAATCACCATGTAAACCCACCACCTCTTTCTCATTAAAACGTTTCACTTAAAGCTAAAGACTTTTCTTTGGCATAGCCAAACTTCTATCTTCACTGTTCTTGTACTTTGGAGCTGTTGCTGAGTGAAGAAGGCTTCCTTGAACACGGGTATTATAGAGTATATGGCAGTTGATCCTATTGGAATTGGGACTACATGACTGATGAGCAGGTGCCATATGGAACATGGATGTGCTTACAAAAGGGTGATTTATATCCCTGACAGAATGGGATGGCATAGGGTTTTATTACACAGAGTGGCACATGATTTCATGATATAAATTGTTTATTTTTGTAGTTTATAATTAGTATTTTTAGACCACCGGTAACTGAAACTATGAGAAGCAAAAAGGGACAGAGAGGGTGCCATATAAGCCAATCTTTATTATGACCAGAGCCTGTCTATGAATGGTGCGGTGTCATCCTTACAGCAGTAGTATAAATATAAGCCTCGTTTTTGCAAATACAGCGAAACTCAGAAAAAGGAAGTAACTTGCTTAACCCCACTATTAGAGTTAAGTGTGGTTAAGACAAGGCTGACCTCGAACTCACAGATCCGCCTGCCTCTGCCTCCTGAGTGCTGGGATTAAAGGTGTGCACCACCACCGCCCGGCCTGATTTCCTTTTATTGCTAATATATTTTCCTAAATGTTGGAAAAATTTAGAGAGTGTGTGTATTTAATACTTTGCAGCTAAACTTAACACATTAATCTTTTACAAAAATGTTCTGTAAATTTAAAGAAACCTAAACAGAGGGAGTGGATGATCTCTAATACTAACAATGGGATATAGGTGTCATAATTTGCCTTCATTTATATATCTGAATACTTTTTAAAATGTATACTGTTTCCCTGGGCATAATTTCACAGATTCAACTTTATGAAGATTTTGCTAAGTCTCGTGCCAAGTGTGATGTGGATGAGACTGTGTCTTCAGCTGCACTTTCAGAAGAAACTGAGAAACCAAAGCTTAAAGCTACAGGTCATGTATTCCAGGTAGAGGTTATAAACTACTTTTAAAAATTAAACTGAAGAGATGGCTCAGAGGTTAAGAGTACTGGCTCTTAACTGAGTTTAATCTCCAGCAACCACATGGTGGCTCACAACTATTTGTAATGAGATCTGATGCCCTTTTCTGGTATATGGACATACATGCAAACAGAACACTGTATACATAAATCTCAGAGATTAACCTGCCTCTGCCTCCCAAGTGTTGGAATTCAGGGCGGGTGCCGCTGCCACCACCCAGCTGGGTATCTTTCTAGATTGCTCCCTCCTTTCTGAGAATCTGTTCCTGAGTCTCAAAGTTTGCTGTAGGCTTATCTGACTAGGAGATCCCTGTATCCTTCTCCTGTACACTGAATTACTATGCTCACTGGGCTTTAAAGTTTACTTATTTGTTTGTGTTTTAATGTGGGTTCCGGGGATCTGAAGTCTGGTCCTCACGCATGTGGTGTGGCAAAATGGTTTGTGGGCTGAACCGACTTGCCCAGCTCTGAACTGGTTCTTGGACACTGACTGGGCATTTTCTAGACAAATGGAATAGCAAAGAGAGGATACAAAAATACAAACAATTATGGTATGAAAAAGATGGAGTTATGTAAGTTGTTGTTGTTTTTCATCTTTTAAAGGCATTACAATATTTACGTAAACTGTGCAACCATCCAGCATTGGTCTTAACCCCTCAGCATCCAGAATTCAAGAGCACTACTGAAAAACTGACTGTTCAGAATTCTTCACTTCATGATATTCAGCATGCCCCTAAACTCTCCGCTTTGAAACAGGTATGTCTATTCACAATAAAATAATAAATAAGTTATGATAGTAGAAAAATTTGCTATTTTCAAAGATTATTGATATACTTACCATTTACTGTATTTTAAAATTTGGCTTACTATTTTTTTTTTTTACCCTCCCCGCCCCCCGGAACTCATAGAGATCCGCCTGCCTCTGCCTCCAGAGTGTTGGGATTAAAGGCGTGTGCCACCACTGCCTGGCATTTTGTAATATTTTTTTTCACATATAGTTAAATAGAGTACAGTAAAATTCAAGCATAGCTAGTTTTTTTTTATATAGCTTTAAAAGAAATCACATGTCACTTTAACTGCAGTTCTGACATTACAGTGTTCTACAGCAGTCACTACCATCCAGCACGCGAGTTCTCTATAACCCAAAACCATTGCCTACCCAGCAGTCCCCATCTTCCCTTTTCAATCCTTAACCTTTTCCTAGGATGACCTCTTGAACTATTTCATGTACATGGAATCCTACAGTGTGTGTTTTTAACAGGCTTTATGTAGTCCTTGGCTGGTCTGGAATTTACTATTGTCGACCAGGCTGACCTCAAACTCACAGATCTGCCTACCTCTCTGAGTACTGAGATTAAAGGCATATGTTACCGTATAGGACCCCTTTTTATATTATTTGTCTTTTCATTTAAAGAAGTTACTTTATAGCTTTTGTTTGGGACATCATTGTCACTGCCTTGAATGAACATTTACTAAAGGTCTAGTGGTTATGGGAGTCCATAGGGGAAACAGGCTGAGTGCTTGGTAGTTTCAGCCCAACTTCTAACGGGCAAATAGGTGACAAATAAATTTAACCTTTTCTTTCCATAGAAATAGTTGCAGGAGAAAGTAGTTGTGGTAGCAAATATTTGTTGTCTACTTCCAAATAACTGTGAAATGTTTTCTTCCCCCAGTTGCTGTTGGATTGTGGTTTGGGAAACGGCAGCACTTCAGACAGTGGCACGGAGTCTGTGGTGGCCCAACACAGAATACTGATCTTCTGTCAGCTAAAAAGCATGCTTGATATAGTTGAGCATGACCTGCTGAAGCCTCACCTACCCTCTGTCACTTATTTGAGACTAGATGGCAGCATACCTCCTGGACAGAGGCATTCCATTGTTTCCCGGTAAGTAGCTCCCCAGCTGTTAATAGAAGACAAGATTAATGTATTTGTTATTACTTATGTAGGTGTTTGCTTCAAGAAATGTTTTCATTGGGTAATACCTGTGTGTCTGTTACTGGGTAACCCAGTCCAAATAAATCTCCTGTGGATACAGAACTATGGAAGGCCTGTGATGACGCAAGTGATCACACCAGGAAGCACCTGCAAGAGCAGAGTGGAGATCTGCGATAACGAGTTTTTTCCTCCCGGTTTTTAGGGTTTAGGGTGGAAGCAAGCAAACAGATAGCTTTGCTGAGATCCCTGTCCTAGCTATTGTTTCTCTGCTCAAAACAAAATATGTGTTCTACAAACTCTGCCTAAAATACATCCTTGGAGTCAAGATTCTGGCAAACGAGATTCCTATTTGGGATTCAGTTCCAAACCTCAAATGTTCTTCTGTTGTATTTTAGACAGGGTCTTGTCAAATCCAGAGCTCATCGGTAAGACTAGTCTTGGTAGCCAAATTACTCCAGGGACTCCCATCTCAACCTTCCAAGGCTGGAATTAAAGGCATTCTGCATGTCCATGTGGCATTTATGTAGGCTCTAGGGATCTGAACTCTGTGCTCTTGTGTGTGTGCTTTATCCACTGAGCCATCACCCCAGTGTCTTGTTATTTGTCTTAATGACTGACTGTACTGAGAATCCATGTAGTTTTAATTTTGATTTCCTTGACAGCTAGTGATGATACATGTCTGTCTTGTTTTGTTCCATATATTTAATAACCCATTCTGTTGGCATCTTCAAGAATTGTGTGTTCATTTCATTAGCCCATTTATTGATTGGGTTGTTTGATTTCTTGGTGTTTAGTTTGTGTTCATTGTATATTGTACATATTAATCTTCTATAAAGATGAATGAAATGAATGTAATTTATGCCCTGGCAATGCTGAAGCATGCATGGGCAGCCCGTATTTGGTGGTTCTGTTGAACTTGTCCATATTGGACTGACCAAAGACTTTTTCCCCATTCTGCAAGCTGTCTTCATTTGATTGTGTTCCTTTGCTGTAGATTTTTAATTACGTGTGATCCTATTTGTCAGTTCTTGGCTTTACTTTATGATTGGAACCCATATTTAGGAATTCCTTTACTATGACTATATCCTAAGTAGTTTGCCTATTTTTGCTTCTTACAGTTGGAAAATTTCAGCTGGGCGGTGGTGGCGCACGCCTTTAATCTCAGCACTCGGGAGGCAGAGGCAGGCGGATCTCTGTGAGTTCGAGGCCAGTCTGGTCTACAAAGGGAGTTCCAGGACAGGCTCCAAAGCTACAGAGAAACCCTGTCTCGAAAAAACCAAAAAAAAAGAAAGAAAGAAAATTTCAGTTCTTATGTTATAGTTTCTGATCTCTTAGAATTGATTCTTGTACAGGGTGACAGGGATCTAGATGTGGGTGGAGATTGTTTTCACAGTTCTGTCAGTTGAAAAAGGACTGTCTTTACTCAAGTGTATTTTGGCATTTTGTTGACATTATGGTTGCTGTGGCTACATGAGTTTGCATCTAGATCCTTTGTTTTATTGCATTATTTGTGGTGTCTATGCCCTTGAAATACGCTTTTACTGTGGAGATGTAATTGAAATCAGCTATGATGACACCTCCCATTGTTCTTGTTTTGCTCAGGATGGCACTGGCTTATCCAAGGTCTTCTGTACTCAATATGAATAGGATTTTCTTCTTTTCTATTTTTTTGTGAAGAGTTGTTGAAATCAATTTGTTTTGATGTTTGAGACAGGGTTTACTTTGTAGTCCTGGCTCTCATAGAACTCACCCTGTAAACCAGACTGGCTTCAAACTCAGAGATCCACCTGTCTCTGCCTTCTGAGTGCTGGGATTATAGACATGTGCCACCATTCCCAGCTTGTTGAAATATTTTATTAATTCTTTGAGAATTTCATAATTTTATTTTTATCATATTCGCCCTTTCCCCACGTCCTCCCAGATCTACTCTCCTGTTCCATTCCCTCCTGACTTTGTATCATTATTTTATTAATCCTATTAGTGCCATCTATATACTCCAGCACAGTTGTCAAAGGTTGGATGAGGTTTGCCTTGAATCTGTAGATTGCTTTTGGTAGTTCAGCCCTTCTCACAGTATTCTAAACTGGGCATAGAGATCTTTCATCTTCAAGTGTCTTTTTCAATTTCTTTTTCTCAGTTTTTAAAATTTTTCATTGTTGGCTTGACATGGTGGCACAAATCTTTAATCCTAGTACTTGGGGGGGGGAGAAGCAAATATATCTCTGAGTTCAAGGACAGTCTGATCTATGTATCAAGTTCTAGGACAGACAGACAAATACATAGTGTTTATTACTGGTATATAGGAAAGATACTGATTTGAATGGTAGATTTTGAATTGGTACTTTGCTAAAAGTTTACTTAATCTGGGTTTTCTGATGGAATCTTTAGAGCTCTCTCTCTTTCCCTCTCCCTCTCTTCCCCTCCCACTCTGTGTGTGTGCGCATGCACGCGTGTGCACGTGCTTGTTGCTGTAGGAACATTATGGAAGCTAGAAGTTGATATTGGAATTTTCTTCCTTCTTTTTTATTTTACTCTGAGAGATAGTCTCACTGAACCTGCAACTCACTGTTGAGGCTAGACGAGCTGGCCAGCTGCCAGGACTAATTTATCTTTGACATGCCTATCTTTTATGTGGGTGCTGAAGATTTGAATTCAGGTCCACAACAAGCACTTTAACTACTAAGCCAAAAACCTTGCCTGACTTTTTTCCTGTTTGCATCCCCCTTTTCCCTCTTGTCTTACTGCTTTTTCGGTATTGATTAGAGAGAATTTGGACCCTTTTCTTATTCTAGGTTTTAGAAGAAATGCTCTCTGTTCTCTCCCATTTAGTATAATGCCTGTCATATACAGCCTTTGTTACGTTGAGATGTGTTTCTTTTATTCCTAATTTCTTCTGGCTTTTGTCATGAAGGAATTGAGGATTTTTTTTTTTTGAGTCCCTCTTCATCTGTTGGTATAATTATGTGATTTCTATCCTTGAGTCTGTTTATGTGATAAACTATATCCATTGTTTTACATGTTAAGCCAACCCCTGGAATGAAGCCATCTTTTTGATGTGTTTTGAATTTGAATTGCAAGTATTTAGTTGGGAATTTTTGCATGTTATGTTCATCATGGAGAGTATAATTTTCTTTTTTTGATTATTAACTTTTGATATCAGAAGAATACTGGCTTTATAAAAGGCTGGTAGTACTGGGCTGTGGTACACACCTTTCTTTAATCCCAGTACTTCTTGGGAGGCAGAGGCAGGCGGATCTCTGTGAGTTCAAGGACACATAGGGCTGTTTGTGCAGAGAAACCCTGTCTCAAAAAATAAACAAACAGAAAAAAACATGTTGGGTAGCAATTATTTGCTTTCTGTTTTAAATTAGCTTGATGAATGTTGGCAATTGGTTCTTATTTGACTGTCTAGTAGAGTTCAGCTTTTTTAGTTGGAATATTTTTTATTACTTATATATTTATGTTGTTTATAGCCACTTAGTTGATTTCAGTGGGTTTGTCTAGAAACATATCATTTCTTTTAATTTCTCAAATTATTAGAATATAGATTTTAAGGTGTATCCTAATCTAAATTTTGTTGTTATCCATGTCTTTTTTTAAGCTCTGATTTGGTTAATTTCATGTTTTGATAGCTTGACTGTTGACCTTGTACCTCTTCAGAGAACCGTCTTTTTTCACTGATTTTTGTTGTTTTAGTTTTCTTTTTTAACCTTGAAGGTGAGAGGACAACTGGAGTCAGTCTATCCTTCTGCCATGCCTGTGCTTGCTGAGCCGTCTCGCTTGCTCTGGAGTTTACTCCACGCTCTTCCCTCTCAGCACTGCTCTCATTGTGCCTCAGAGGTTCCTATGTCATTGGACTCCAGACATTTACAGTTTCCTCTCTTATTTCTTGTTCATGTGTGTCTGTTTTTCCTCCTGGGTTGGCTGGCTGTTGGTGATAGTTGGCATTAACGTCGCTCACTGTTGCTGTGTGGAGGCTGACCTGTCTTCCTCCAGTAGTGCTTGTTTATGGAATTAGGTGCCTGTGTACCATGGTGTTTCTTCCTTGCAGTTTTGATGCTTTCCTTCTTGTTTGGCATTCTAACTGCCTCCTGGATCTGGGTGTTCATTTCTTTTCCTAGATTTGAGGAGCTTTCCACCATGATTTTCCTGAGAGTATTAACTTGATGCTGTAGTAAATCTGGTCTTTAGTGGTGTTTGTAGACTTCATGTTCCGTTCACACCCTGATTATCTTTCTCGGGGTCTGGATTTTTCTTCTCTCCTGTCCTTGATATTATGACTTTAGCTTCCTCCGTTCTATGAGGCCTTTTACTGAGTTTTTCATTTGACTTACCTTTTCATTTCTGAATATTCAATTTGGGACTGATGAGATGGCTCAGCTGGTAAAAGCACTCACTCTACAAACCTGGTGACCTAATTTCAATCCTTGGAACCTACTTTTTTAGTGTTTCTATTTTCTTAATAAATTCCTGCTTCATATCCTATATTGGCTTCCTCATTTCAATAGTTTCCTTTTTTAATATATTTAGAGGTTCATTTGTATCCTTTTTAATCTCTTTAAATATAGTTGGAAGCCGCTCATTCGTTTCCTGGCCACCCAGACCCAAAAAAAAAAAACACACAGAAACTGCATTAATTAAACCACTTCTTGGCCAATCACTTAGGCGTATTGCTAGCTAGCTCTTATATCATATCTTAAATTATCCCATTTCTATTATTTTTATTTACCACAAGGCTTTTGGTTTACCAGTACTGGCGTGCAGGTTCTTTCTCTGGTGGCTACAGGGCCTCTCTTTTGACTCTGCCTTCTTTTCTCCCAGCACTCAACTTAGTTTTCCCACTTAGCTCTATTCTGCACTGCTATAGGACTGAAGCAGCTTTATTCATTAACAAAACACATTCATGGCATACAGGGGGGAATCCCACATCAATTAAACATTATTAAATTTTTTTTCCCTTTAGTCTTTTGGATTTCTTTTTGTTTTAGAAGGGGAACTTTATGGGCTGGAGAAATGGCTCAGAAGTTAAGAGCACTGGCTGCTGTTCCAGAGGACCTGGGTTCGATTCCCAGCATCCACATGGCTATTCACTACTGTCTGTAACCCTCACACCAATGAACATAAAATAAAGTTAAATAAATTATTTAAAAAAAATAAGGGAAACTTTCCTAGTACATGGGCTATGCCACTGAGTAAAACATCCAAGAGAAAAAATAATTCTAAAACAGGAATTGTATTTTTAGCCTGATTCATCTTTATTATTTATTTATTTATTATTTTTCAAGATAGGGTTTCTCTATGTAGCTTTGGATCCAGTCCTAGAATTTGCTCTGTAGACCAGGTTGAAAATGAAATCACAGAGATTCTCCTGCCTTTGCCTCCCAAGTGCTGGGACTAAAGGTGTGAGCCACCACCACCCAGCTAAGTCTTGGATTTCATCTGATTCGTTCTCGTTGGTATCTTGAATTTTTTCGTTATTCTTGATTTTCTTTGGTTAGGACTTGCACATCTAGGGTTTTTTCATCGGTTGGTCCCCACCCCCCCGACCCCGACCCCGAACATGTGTTCTTTCTGCTCAAGTATTGCAATGTTCCGCTTGGACTGGCTGACATGGGGCTGAGAGTATTAACTGCAGAAGCAACCATGGCTACTTGCTAGTCATTTAAAAACAATCATCGTTTTTAACTTAGGAAACTGTTGAGGCATAACAAAGAACAGTAGTACAGTGATGTTTAGTTGCTAACATTTGAAAGGGAAGTAGGCTACCTTGTCATAGGGGTTAGTATTGATCAGCTGGGGAAAATCAGGGAAAGGTAGATAGAAGGGGGTTTGGAACATTAGGATCTATGAAGCATAGTAGGTTAGTAAAGAAGTAGGAGGAGGAGGTAGTAGTCAAGTGGTTAAGAGTCCTTCCTGCTCTTTTAGAAGACTCGGGTTCTATTCCAGGCACCCACATGGTGGCTCACAACTGCTCACAATTCCAGTTCCAAGGGGAATCCAGTACTGTCTTCTGGCTTCCTGGTGTACTAGGCATGCATGCAGGCCCAACACTCACATGAAAACAGACAGTTTAGAGGGAACAAGAGGGGTATAAGGAAGGAATGAAAGGGAGCACTGTGAGGAAAATAGGATGCACAGAGAGGGTGTGAAGAGACATGCAGTATGAACATAAGACCTAACTGAGCATCAAAAGAAAAGTAAGAACATTTAGAGATATTTACGTAAAGTTTTGGTTTGTTGGGCCAGGTAAACTAGATTTTAAAATATGTAGCAAAATCAAATTAGGCATGCCTAAAATTCCTGTGCTTGGAACGTGAGTCAGGAGTTCAAGGCAGTCTTTGAGAACAGCCTGGGATACAGGAGAAACCTGGATGGAAGGAGGGATGGGAGTGGGGGAATGTATCAGTCAACATTCTTTCTTCCTTAGTAGAAGGGTTTTGAATTCCTCTTCTCCCTGTTCTTTGTAGCAGATGATGATGGGGGAGGTGCCGTTGGTGTTAAGTCAGAATTGTGTGAGTGTCTGTGAGGATTCAGAACAAGTGAGTTTTGGGGTTGCGTTTTGCTTAATGGCCAGTTGCTGTTAGCCGCCTCTTCCTTGGTCTTTCCCCAGACCTCAGCATGGAGTGTGGAAATTTCCCCATTATGTTCCATATGTTCTGGAGATAAATCCAAGGTACAGAAAGTGCCCGTGGCTTTGCTATTTATTTATCCTTTTGGCAAGGGTCCTGGCTGCCTCCGTCAGCATCTGCTTCTATAGTCTCTGGCCAGTTCTTTTCTCATCAGGTGATGTCAGAGTGTCCTCATTTCATGCAGAGGCCTAGAGACTCTCAGCTTCAGCTTCCTGCTGGCTATTGTTGGAGCCGCGCCCCACAAAGGTCATGCTCACCTCAGTCCAAGCACAGGGCATGAGGCTGCTCCACCCAGCGTGCTCTTAAGATAAGCGCTCACCTGGCTTATTTAGTCCCTTTGTTTTCAGTTACTGCGTTTTGTAGGAGAGGATGATTGTCTCTTTGTTTACTTATTTATTGGTTTTTTGACTCAGGGTTTCTCTGTCGTTTGGGAGCCTGTCCTGGAACTTGCTTTGTAAACCAGACCTGGCCTTGAACTCAGATCCCCGTCTCTGCCTCTGCTTTAATCCCTGTGCTGCCGCCACCCAACGAAGGGTATTTATTGTTTGTTTCTTCACAGTGGGCCACACTGAAGGAGCTTCTAATTTGCCATCTTACCCAGAAGTGTGGCTGCTACTTTTGTTAGTAATAATTGTCCTTTTTCCTAGAGACTACTAGATGTCCCTATGGATATCTTGTAGAGTACAGCTGTCCTGGATGGTGGCTCTCCCTCCCTGGACGATGCAGAGTGCTCCTACTCATCTGCCTCCACACTTTTTTATAACCTGCTCTGTGTCTGATATAAAGTACAATCTTTTTAGCCTTATTTCTGTTTATGAAATTTCTGATAAGCTTTAGAATGAATTCTTTCTACTTCAGATTGGCATTCATGCATGCATATATGTGTGCATATATATATATATATATATATATATATATATATATGTTGTTATATTAAAATATGTAATAGTTCAAGAATACAGTTGATGTTGGAGAAGTCGGGGCAGGAGCTTGAGGTAGTTGGTCACATTGCATCTGTAGTCAGGAAGCAGAGAACGATGAGTGCAGGATCATCTGCCTGATTCCCTTTTCCTTTAGTCCAGTGAGCCTCCCTGTGGGACGGACCACCCACATTTTGGGCTGTTATTCCCACCTCTATTCACCTAACCTAGAAACTCACAAAGCTATAGACTACAAATCTCATCACACTGACAGTGAGTTTAACCATTAGAGTATATTCGAAGGCTATTTTGTCTTGGTGGAAAACTAATATCTATACCATGGCTGTGCTGGTCATTTGGAAAAAGAAATCTCCTCTGAGAAAATGCCCCTACCAGATTGGCCCTGAGCTAGCCTGTAGTTCATTTTCTTCATTGATATGCGAGTGACCAGCTTGCTGTGGGCTGTTAGACCTGGCTGCTGTAAGAAAAGAAGGCTGAGAAAGCCCAGTAGTGGTAAGCAGAACTCCTCCATGGCCTTGAGTTCCTGCGCTGACTTCTTTGAGAGGTATAAGATGGAGTAAAACCCTTCTCCCCAAGTTGCTTTTGATCATGTGTTTTATCACAGCAGTAGAAGCCGTAACTAAGACAGAAGGGTTTCTAAAACAGTAGTTTTATTAAAGGGTCCTGAGTGAGAACTGTACTAACTCTACTTTTTGTTACTTACGTTTGTAGGTTTAACAATGACCCATCCATTGATGTTCTTTTACTTACAACTCATGTTGGTGGCCTAGGGCTTAACCTGACTGGTGCTGACACTGTGGTGTTTGTGGAACACGACTGGAACCCTATGCGAGATCTACAGGCCATGGACCGGGCCCATCGCATTGGGCAGGTAAGTCACCCAACACTCCACTAAAAGCTAGGCAGATACTAGGAAGACTGGATTCAAATTCTTTCTAGGATGTTATGAAGTGCTGTGACTTTGGGCATGTCATTCTCATCTTCTGTGGTATCATTTCCACTACCACTTTCTGAGCTTGGCTGAGAAAGCCTGGGTCACTGTCATCCTGAAAACAGTTTTAGGTCGTGGGACCAGACAAGACCCCAGTCACAGTTAGTCTAATAAAAAGGGCTGGCCTGACGAACCTGGGTTTATCAGTTTTCATTACAGTTAATTGTTTTTCTTATTCAGAAACGTGTGGTTAATGTCTATCGACTAATAACCAGAGGAACACTAGAAGAGAAGATAATGGGCTTGCAGAAATTCAAGATGAACATAGCAAATACCGTTATTAGCCAAGAGAATTCTAGTTTACAGAGCATGGGGACGGATCAGCTTCTTGACTTGTTTACTCTGGATAAGGTAAGGAGCTCACTTAGCTTGTTCAGTCCTGGTGGTTGTCTGCGAGGTGCAAGCGCTCTGAAGCTCGCCAGCTGCTAAGCTGCAGCCTTCTGAGGTTGGGAGTAAAGCACTGAGAACAGTAATGTGTCCGCTCTAAGACAGTGTTTGTGTATATGTGCACAGGGCCTTTGGAGGCCTGAAGAGGGCGTTGAGCCTCTGGAACTGGAGTTACAATGGTCATTGTAGACACCTGAGCCCTCCATGAGAGCGTAACGCCTTTTGTTGTTGTTATGTTTTGAGATAGAGTTTCTCTGTGTAACAGTCCTAACAGTCCTAGCTGTCCTGGAATTAACTCTGTAGACCAAGAGGGCCTCAAACTCACAGAGATCCGCCTGCCTCTGCCTCCCAAGTGCTGGGATTAAAGGCGTGCGCCACCACTGCCTGGCTGCTTTATACCCCTTAACTAGACTAGTGTCAGCTCTCCAGGCTCTAACACTTTTTTTTTAAGTACATTTACTTCTGTGTAAGTGGGGCAGTTGTCACACATACACAGCACACTTGGTCAGAGCAACTTCCTGGAGTTGGCTCTCCTTCCACCCCCTGGCTTCTGGGGACATGGCTCAGACTGTCAGGCTTGGTGGCAGTACCTCTGGCTACTGAGCCATTCTGTGAGCCGGTAGATAACTTTGGGCCACACTAGATGTTTGAAGTCTCGGTCTTTGTATTGTCGCCATTATCTTGTCTCAAGGTTTCTTTCCTTTGTGTTTTCCTTCTCAGGGCTCTTGTAATCTCTGGAGTCTGTGGAACTCGGGGGTGTGTGTTTCTGGGCCAGATCCTACTGATTGGCAACTTTAGGCAAATTAACTTCGGAGCAGCTATACCTATTACATGGTGTTAAGATAAAGTGAAATTATACCACACACAAAAAACAATACAGGCATTAAGAGCAGACTGCCAATAGATAGTAATGTTACTATTGTGGGGATTAAACTATTAACATATTAGATAACAACATAACATAAAGATGTGCCGAGGCTGAGGCCTTTAATCCCAGCACTCACTCTGGAAGCTGAGACAGCCTGGGCCAAACAGTAAGACCTTCCCTCCCTCCCTTCCTCCCTCCTTCCCTCCCTCCTTCCCTCCCTCCCTCCTTTATTGATTGATTCATGAGACAAGGTCTTACGTGTCTCAGACTAGCCGCGAATTTAGAGTATAGCAGAAGATGACCTTGATCTCCCTATTGTCCTGAGTGCTGGGATTACAGGTGTGCTCTGCTGTGCCCCACTGTGCCTGGTTTTGTGCTGTGCTGGATAGGGTTCGACACAAACAGAGCTTGGAGTGTGGAGCCCCTGAGCCTCTCTGGTTTCTTTTTCTATTGCTGGAGAGTGAAGTCGGGGTCTGGTACACAGTAGGCACCCATTCTACCTCTGAGCTACAGCCTTTGACATCTTCTGTCTCTTCTTAAATTTTATTTTGAGACAGGATTTCTCTGCATAACTCTGACTTTCCTGAAACTCACTCTGTAGACCAGGTTAGCTTTGAACTCACAGACAGCCACCTGCGTCTGCCTCTAAAGTGCTGGGATTAAAGACACATGCTGCCGCCACCACCCAGTTTATTTTCTTTTTTGTCTGTCTGTCTCTCTGACTATCTGGTTGAGGGTTTTTTTTGTTGTTTGTTTGTTTTCGAGACAGGGTTTCTCTGTAGGTTTGGTTTCTGTCCTGAAACTAGCTGTTGGAGATCGGGCTGGCCTTGAACTCACAGAGATCCACCTGCCTCTGCCTCCTGAGTGCTGGGATTAAAGGTGTGTGCCACCACCGCTCGGCTCTCTCTTTTTTTAGAAAAGATATTTCTGAAGTCAATAACCTCATTTTAAGCCAGGCATTAGTGGCACATACTTAAAGGCAGGGGGAACTCTGAGTTCAAGGCCAGACTGGTCTATATAGTAAGTTCCAGGACAGCCAGGACTGTATAATGAGATCCAGTCTCAAATAAAAACTCATTTTTATCTGCAAATGTTTCATTAGGATGGCAAAGCAGAAAAGGCTGACAGCTCTACTTCTGGGAAAGCGAGCATGAAATCAGTTCTGGAAAACCTGAGTGACCTCTGGGATGCCGAGCAGTACGATTCCGAGTACAACCTGGAGACTTTCATGCGCTCTCTCGAGTAACTACTGCACACTGATGCGGCTGCTGCTAGTTCAGTTACATTCTGCTGATATTCAGCAATTCCTAAGTCTGTGGTGAACTTTAACTGAATGTATAAATAGATCTGAAGAATATTCAGCATAGTGCTGGCTCTTGTTTCACCGGGGAACAAGTTATTCTCAAATATTTGCACTGTATTAAATTTAAATGTTAATGTGAAAAGGTTTAAATTTTACATGCTGAATAGCTGCAGAGGGAGGAAGCGCCAGGTTTCCATGTGCTACCATGAGGTGCTCCTGCCGGGACAGCCTCCTCTACAGTCACTTTGTCCACGAGGTCACCAGGGCCGTGGTGTCCGCGTGCATTTGTTTCTTTAAAATAGTACTTGTTTTTATAATTGATTACAAATAGGGCTTCTTTTGTATAAAAGCCTTAATGAGCCATACTTTTCAGAATTTCAGAATGACTTTAATATTAGTCACCCCTAGAACATGAAAATGGTAAACAATGAATTGAACCAGGCCCTGTGGCAACCTTTGTATATTTAATGCAGATGCATATAGTGTTTTTCAAATCTTTATTAACATCATTTTGTTCACTTTTAAAGTATAATGACTATTCTAAATGCAGGTACTGGTGTATTTAAGGCTATAATAACATCCTATTAGAGGGTGGGTTTTGTTTAATTTATCTAATGGCTAGGATATAGCCAAATTCAAAGAATATATGTACTTGGTAGGTTTCAATCATATATATATATAAAATATATATATATATTTTGTAACTATGAACACAGTTTTCCAGACATAAATTTTACACTGCTTACAATTCCAATCCCTGTGGTGAAGGCTGTTTACTGTAGTAGAGCATGGCTGGCAGACAGGGAGGAACTGCTCTTCATACACAGCATACAAGGATACGCGTGTCTATATGCACAGTGTCCATCCCACACCCAGTGTGTCTGGTTTGGGCACTAAAATCATGTAGTTATACCAGACAGCAATAATAATTGAGCACGGAGCTATTGAACTAGTAGTGCAAGAAGAGCTCAGTGGTGAGGGTGGGTAGCTGTACACAGATATGCATGTATGTGTATGTATATAATTTTATAAATTCCCACATAAGTTAATACATGCCTATGTATACACACGTGTGGATTATATTTGTATATATATGTACAGGTAATAACATCTTCAAGGTTTGTGTCTGGTCCTGTACCTAGGCATCAACTTAAAACCATCAGACCTCAATTGTACAATAACAAGGGTTTTGTTTAAAATAATTAAAATTCTACAGCACTTGGATATGAAGTTTGTCACACTTGAGTAGCCTTGACAACCATGCTGTAATACTGAACCTAGCATTCCACAAGAGAATAAATAGCAAATTGTAAAGCCTGTGCAATTGTGTGTTGTTTACAGTGGAGACTAAACCAGCCCAGGTACGCAGGGTTTTGAAAGGCTACTCTTTTCATATCTGTGGTTTATATTCAAATGTAGTAGACCAAAAGGAAAACTCAGGATTTCTTGTAGATTATCCATTGTACTTGAGTGTTTTTGTATTTGCTGTTTGCATATCTTCTAAAAGCAAGGGACAGTTTTATCACTGAAGAAATACTAAAAGAACAGAAGATTTCATACCAACATATTAATTTTTTTATCATAACCTAGGAATGGATATCTAGGCAACTGAAAGTTTGTGGGTTTAATCAGGAATTACATGTGTATACTGGCAAACTTTCTCAAAGGGTGAAAAAGTTACTCTGTTCTTCCTGTGAGAACAGTATTACGTTTAAAACCCTTTATTGTAAGATGTGGAATCACACACCCTAGTTTCCCAGACAGACAAACAGGCGGCCCAGAACGGCGTCCTGCTCCTGAGGCGGCCGGACTGGCGCAGCCGCAGCGCTGCGGGTGTCAGACAGAGGTGAGGTCAGAGGTGAGGTCCGAGAGACAAACAAGGTGTGGTGTTGTTGCTGAACTGGGCTTTGAACACAGTGGAATCTATCTTATTGTTACTTTTTGAAATTTTTAAATAGTTAAAATTAATTACATTAAAATTAATTACATTTGAAGTCAGTCATACACTTTCTTGTAGGAAAGTTTTTAAAATTCTGGGTTCTGGGTGTCCACCATTTATTCATACTCAACAGATCCTAGTCTTTGAGCAGAGCAGGTTACTTGATGGTCACTAGGAGAGATGTCTCCAGTGCCAGGAGAAGAGCCTTGGTCAAATGTATATCTTCCAGGGGAGCTTTGAAGGTGTGGCAATGAGGACCAACCCTTTGTTTGTATATGGTGTGGGAACCAAGCTGGAGAATTGGAACTGTAAGAACATACTAAGAGTTGGGTGTGGTGGTGCACGCCTTTAGTCCCAGCACCCAGGGACTTTAGATCCACCACCCAGGCTGGTGGATCTCTGAGTTCAAGGTCAGCCAGGGCTATACAGAGAAACTGTCTCAAAAACTCTAGGGAGGAGAGACTTTAAACAATCACACAGAAACTATATTATTTAAATCACTGCTTGGCCCATTAGCTCTAGCTTCTTGGCTAACTCCTACATCTTAATTTAACCCATTTCTTTTAATCTGTATATCCCCACAAGGTTGTGGCTTACCAGGAAAGTTTCAGCACGTCTCTCTCAGGCGGTGAATCCATGGCATCTCCTGACTCCGCCCTTCTTTCTCCAGCGTTCAGTCCAGTCCTCGCCACCTGCCTAAGTTCTGCCCTATCAACAGGCAGTTTCTTTATTCATTAATGGTAATCACAGCACACAGAGGGGAGTCCCACATCAAAAAACAAAACAAAACAAAAAAACCCAAAAGCAGTGCAATAACGTTGGCGGGAAAGAACAAACGCTGTTATGTGCCTGTGTTGAGCATTGACCATCAGTCCAGCTTTGTACCTTCTTCAGACCTCAGCTTCTAGGACACACCGGCACGGGGGAGTAAATGACATTAATTGCAGGGACGTCTGTTACCAAGTGTCAGAAAATTCAGTGTGGATTAATACAATAAAAACTTGAGTTTTGATACCAGTCATTTGAAAATGTTTGCTTGCCAACCTAAAACAATAGTCTCTAAGAGATGCAGCTGGCCTTGCAGGCTGGCAAGGGCTCAGCGGGCAGCAGCACTTGCCACAAGCCTCACAACCCTTGCTCGCCTCTACAGTCCAGCAAGTGCTGTCTGCTACAAACCCTTCCCGTACCTTCAACTCAGGCTCCCAGGGCAGCCAACGCTGCATCTCACCATCTTGCCTCTTGGGATTCCAGCTGACCTAGCCACTGACCAGAGCCTCCCGTGCCTTCTGTGACATTCCTATCTCATCGGAACTCATCATGACCTGTCACGGCTCTGGCCCACCTCTGGCCACATCTCTGTCCGCGTTTCTCTGTTCATCTCACACACAACCGGGTGCTGCATTCGGTGCCGATGTACACCTTTAATCCCAGGGGAAAGAAAACACACCAAATGGCTGTTTTATGTTCTTACGCTGTGGGGTGAACATCAAGTGAGAAAGGGAGGAGACAAAGCTCTGGAGAGGGGTGAAGGTGGGAAACGGCTGTTTATTCATACTAATTTCAGACACCTGATCAAAGACACCTCTCAAAGACGGTCTATTTAAGGTAAGGGATGCACGGTCACCTGCAGAGATGCTGTGATGGATTAGGAGAAAGCCAGTGACCAGCAAGTCATTCACGGGTCTCACTAGGGATTGTAAAAGACCTGAAGGCCCCACAAGCCAGGCAAAGCTAGAACATGCCTGTGGTATGCGGAGTTGTCTGAATGGCTCTGATTTAAAATACAGGCAACAGTCCTGTGACATTCACGACTCCTGATGCCATGTACTGTTCCAGTGGGAGAAGCATAGAGATGAGGAAGGAGAGAAAAGCCAAACTTTGCATGGCTTCATTAATGCAGCAAAACCCTTACAGAAAGGGGAAAATAAACTGTACCCCCCCCCCCCATGTCACAGTTGACTTCCTATTGCCTGTAAGATGTAGCACCATGATTTATCCGTATTATCCGTACTGTTTGAACTGGCCTTTTGGAGCCCCATTCTCTTTGGGGGATACTTTGCTCAGCCTAGATATAGTGGGGAGGGCTTTGTTCCTGCCTCGAAGTGAAGTGCCTGACTTTGTTGACTCCCCTTGGGAAGCCTTGACCTCTCAGAGGTCAGGGGGAGGGTGAGAAGGAAAGGTTGAGGGAATGGGAACTGGATTTGGTATGTAAAATGAGAAAAGATTGTTTCTTTAGAAAATAAACAGGAGGGCTGGAGAGATGGCTCAGAGGTTAAGAGCACTGACTGCTCTTCCAGAGGTCCTGAGTTCAATTCCCAGCAACCACATGATGGCTTACAGCCATCTGTAATGAGGTCTGGCGCCCGCTCTGGGTGTGTGGGAAGCAGAATGTTGTACACATAATAAATAAATTAAAAAAAAGTTAAAAAGGAAAGAAACAGAAGTGGTTAAGAGCACTGGCTGCTCTTCCTGAGGTCCCTCGTTCAATCCCCAGTAACCACATGGTGACTCACATCTGTAATGGGATCTGTTGCCCTCTTCTGGCCCGCAGGCATACGTGCAGGCAGAATATGTATATATGATAAATAAATAATTTGTTATTTTTTTTTTTTTGGTTTTTTCGAGACAGGGTTTCTCTGTGGTTTTGGAGCCTGTCCTGGACCTAGCTCTTGTAGACCAGGCTGGTCTCGAACTCACAGAGATCCGCCTGCCTCTGCCTCCCGAGTGCTGGGATTAAAGGCGTGTGCCACCATCGCCCGGCTCTCATGTAAGTAATTTTAAAAAATTCCAGGAACGGTTACCCATCCTAGCACTTAGGAAGCAGAGGGGAAGAATTAAAGAGTTCAAGGCCAACTTTTAACTGTGCAGAAAGCTTAGGGCCATCCTGGGCTGAGATCCTTCTCAGCAAACAAAGGCCTTGTAAACAGAGTGTAGATCCCTCAGCCGACAGAAGCACACTAGGCGGTTTAGCAGTTTAATAGGAGATTATGTCGGTGTTCAGAATGTTTTGTTTCTCAGTGCTAGCAATAGGAATTTCATTTCTTAATAGTCCAGATACAACAGCACCAGAGTTCAGGAGACGAGTGCATATTTACAAAGCCTGTGAAGATGTGTGTTGAACATTACAGGACAACAGCAAAGTGACCTCGAGAAATGGAGCTATGCCCCATTTATGGATTAGATACAGAACACGGGGGCCCTGAGTTTAATCCCAGAAAACTCAATATTGCTAGGGTTCCAAACATGTATAGACTCAAATCAGTTCCACACAAAATCTCAGTGAGTTTGGAAAGAGCTGATTCTAAAACTGAGAAAGCAGAGACTTGAAGGGCCTTGATTGCCCTGGAGGAGGAGCTGCAGAGGGGGCCGGAGGACAGGTAGAGATCAAAATAATCCAAAGCAGGAAAGGAGCCTGCTAGAGAGCTGCATGAGCAGCCATGAAGCTTAGTGGAGCTGCAGCAGTCGGGAGAACTGGTGTGAAAACAGAGCAGGGGCGGAGCTGGAGGCCGCCCACAAATCCAAGCGGCTTTACTGCTTGGTTTTTCTGTAACGGAGAAAGGAGTCTCCAAAGTCAGGTCCTCCTACTATAATTCACCCCTGTGTGTTATGATGCTGTGCAAAATTGAGCTCAATTGTGAACATACATCCTAAACTAAAGCATAGACAAAAGCATGGGAGCTAGGCTGTGGCTCGGTTGACAAAAGTCAGCCTACTGTGTGGGAAGCCCTGGCTTTCATCCTCAGCTTGGTGACAAACACCTGCCATTCCAGCACTCAGCAGGGAGCAGCAGGGGGAGCAGGTCATCCTTGGCTTTTTAGTGATTTGGGATCCAGCCTGGGCTACACGAGACCCAGACTCCAAAGAAGAAGAAGAAAAGGTGACCCTGGTTGAACAAAGATTTCTTAGACATGACACCCGTGATAGCCGGACTTGCGCGGCCTTCCACCATAGCCGCCCTGTGCACCCCTTTCCTCGCATCCTTCCTAGTCTTTGCTTTTTGTTAGGATCAACACCATCATCAAAACAGTGCATTTATAAGGTTACAGCTCACCATCACAGGAAGCCAAGGAGGAGCTTGAGGTAGAAACCGCAGAGGATGATACACACCCCTCTTACTAGCTTTCTCCCAGGCTCACATCCAGCTAGTTTTACACACCACACACCGCGCGCGCGCATCATACACCGTACTAGCTTTCTCCAGGCCCATCAGTGTAGAGAGATGACTGCCCACAGTGGGGTGGACCCTCCTACTTCAATTAACAACCAAGAAAATGGCCAGAAGACATACACACAGGCCGGTCTGCCAAAGGCTGTGTTTCAGTTGAGCGCCTTCTTCCCAGGTATGGCAGATTGACACTCGCCAACACAGCTACCTTGGCAATATCCTTTACTAAGCAGTAAACAGACGTCCCAGAAAGTGGGCTGTATTGGCATCTAAAGTTGGGGAGATAAGGCAGATTTGGGGATTGGGCTCTCAACCTGTAAGAGTGAATGTGGTCTCCAGGCAGGCAGTGGCAGAACCAACCGAGGGAGCATCAGGTGTCCACTACAGAGCTGTTTGCCCCACACACTTGACCTCAGAAGTGTTTTGTGTCTCAGTGTGTGGCAGCCTGGACACTGGAGGCTGAGAGGTCAAAGTCAACCTGGCTTACATGGCCAGTACCAGCTCAGCCAGGGTTAAGACCCCATCCTAAAAAACTAAACGACACACATGAAAAACACAAAGAAGGCAAGTGAGTATGCAAAAAGATGATCTACACCGGGCAGTGGTGGCGCACGCCTTCAATCCCAGCACTCGGGAAGCAGAGACAGGTGGATCTCTGTGAGTTTGAGGTCCACAATCTGGTCCACAGGGAGAGTTCCAGGACAGGCTCCAAAGCTACAGAGGAACCCTGTCTCAAAAAAACTAAAAACCAGAATGGATAAAAAAAAAAAAAAAGATGGCCTACATTATGTGGTAGAACATTTCAAATATGAACAAAACTACTAAACACCTTTTAGAACAGCAAAAATCCAACACACATGAGAAACACTGCAGAGGATCTAGCAACCAGACTGCGTTTCAGGGAGTTGGGGAGGATCCTGGAGGGTGGGGTGTAAGAGGCTCTCAGTTTTGAAGATAGTTCGGCAGTTTCTTACAAATCTACCCATTACACCGAGGCTGTGGCTTGGCTCGAACACCCAGGCTTGCTATGAATGCTATTTTAAGTTGAAGGCAATTAATTCAACAGCTGACAAGAACGGCTTTGTGGGGAGCTCTGAGGTTCAGGTCGCCCAAGTGCCTCAGGTTGACTGTACCCAACCCAACTTGTACATTTGCAGCACACAAGACTGCCAATGCACTGATTCGCGGGAGGAGGCGCTTTCCTGCCTGTCTGCAGAGCTGCAGCTGCACGGTACATTAACGTCTGTCTTGTGTTGATCCTTTTGGGTTATTTCACAGATCTCAGTCACCAGCTAACAGGAAAAGTCCCACACAAAACACAGCAGCCCCCAGCAATCCTTCTGGCTTCCATGCTCTACCATCTACTTAGTTCAACTACTCCAGCTCAAAAACGGAGGTGGGGGAAAAGGGGGGTTCGTGTGTGAGTCTTACTGGAAACGTGTCAAGGGTGTGGAGACCTACGCCAGCCATCTTTAAAAGCGGGGTGTTCACTGGTGATGGATGCTTCTGCAGAGCAGGCGCACTAGCCCCCCCTCTTCCCAACAGTTGATCTTATGTTGGGTAGCCATCTGCCCACCCGGCGCTTCAAGTCAAACACAGGGTCAAGCCCAGAAGTTTCTGTTTCAATGACACCTTCGCACACCTCCTCCACCTTCATGTCGCAGGGCAGGACATCAGAACCATTTTCTGAATGGACTAGTATGGGGTCCAAGGCAGATGGCCACACTGAGAAGAAGACTCAATTTGTTCCTTAACGTATAGCTGTTCAGAAAGGAGACTTTAGCGGGGCGGTGGTGGCGCATGCCTTTAATCTCAGCACTTGGGAGGCAGAGGCAGAAGGATCTCTGTGAGTTCGAGGCCAGCCTAGTCTACAAGAGCTAGTTCCAGGACAGGAACCAAAAAGCTACGGAGAAACCCTCTCTCGAAAAAATCCAAAAAAAAAAAAAAAAAAAAGAGAGACTTTAAAGGAGCCCTCCACGGCTCCGTGTATGTGTGTGTGTGTGTGTGCGCGCGCGCGCGCGCGCGCCCCAAGCCCCATGGCTGCAGGGTGGCATCAGTCACAGCCACTCTGGGTGACCTGGGGTCCCTGTAGGCCTGGTGCCGGTGCAGTGCACTCACCTGTAGGGCGGCGCCCTGGAGTCCACACCCGGCGAGGTGGAGACAGATGTGCGGACAGGACACGCACTGAGGGGAAGGGTCAGGTCGCGTGGGAGTGCCAACCAGATGCTGCGGCCCTGCCTCCCAGACCTCTCAGCTTTCTGCTCCCCGTCCTCCTGTGACACCCCTCTTCCTCTCCTTCCCTCCCCTCCCTATTCCAAGAGTCGCTCCGTGGCCCTGGGGGAGCCCAGAGTGCGGTGTCACCCTGGCTGTGTTTAACATGCGGGCGTGCGGCATGCGTGCTAGACCCCAGGCCTTCATCCCAGAACCACCTGTGCCCAGACCCACCCGGACGGAACCGTCTTGTGCCGGGTTCCTCATCCTTTTTCCTTCAAGGAGGACCGGTTGACTCTCTGAGGAAACTGCAGCAAGGCCCCATTTTCTGAAAGAAATTCATTAAGAGATTCTGGTGCCACTGTGAGAACTGAGACGACATCAACACTCACCTTTCACAACAGTTCCGGCTGAATACTGTGGCCTCGTGTGGCAACCTGCTGGCAGTTAGAACCCAAGGCTCCATAGCTCAGGGACAGATCTTAAATTTAGCTTGCCTGAGACCCAGAGGGTCACCAAGAGCGCAGAAAAGAAAACTCCTAAGCCCCCACATCTATCATCTGAGCCCACAAATACTTTCCTCTTTCAAGTTTACTTGTGCGTTTGAAGTGTTGTGTTCGGGAAAGGGGAGCTTTGATGGAAGAGGGGAACTATTTGGAAGACTTGGGGTTCTTGTTTTTTTAAAAAAAACTACTGGAGCAAATCAGAATTTCCCGAGGTGGAGCAAGCACACGGGAGAGAGTCCGTAGCAAAGGATGACAAGCGCCAGTGCTTCGTACAACTAGATTTAATAAGTTGTTATTACAGAAAAAAAGTCCAAACTACAAAGTTAAGCGGTTAAGCGACAGCTGCAAGAGTTCCACGCTCAGTCACAGTAGCGAACCCATACAAGCAGTATTAATCCGAGCCCCAGGGCAGAGGAAGGGTTACCAGCGCAAACAATCCGAGAGAACAGGTAAGAAAGATACAGTACAGTTCAAATTAGTTGTTAGCTGAAAAACAAATACAGAGGTCCTAGCTGTGAACACTCTAAAGGTCATGTCCATCACTTTGACAGCAAAAATACAAAAATGCCTAACACTTTGTACCCCAACAGCACTGTGTCCAGGAGCAGGCGTCCCCTGTGTTAGCACCCGAGCTCTCCACTGGACCCAGTGAGCTACTCTGATCATACAGTCAGATCCCTGGACTCGCGGTTCCCTCTTGACCCACTGTGGGGTCTTCTGTCAACAGCATCCGTTATAAAATACTCCGTGGTGGGAATGGAACACTGCGGCAGCTGAGTTGACGAAAAAAGAATGGTAGCAGACACGCTACGGCTAGTGGTAGAGGGGGGAGCAGCACAAAGAAGCCGGTTTTAACAAAAAGACACTTGGTTTTTTCACTACTCTGTGACTAACCTTTCATTCAAACCTTGCAAGCTGAGATGTCACAATACTCAAATATTTAGGTAGGAGCTTGACCCGGTTAAATGCCACTTTGTTGCTAATAGAAGAGAGAAAATGAAAACTAGCAGCTATTCGCTAATTCAAATGCAGTCCACTGCGTTAGCCCATGCCTCACTAACAAGCTATAAAACACAAGATATAGGCGGAAATCTAAGCATAATCTTTATACCACTAAACAAGAATTTTCCCAGTTTCTTCTGTTCCTAATCATTTATTTGTAGTTAATGTAAAATTCCAACCAATAGGACCCAATTTGAGTTAAAATTTTACATCACAACTTGATCTAATCTATATATTATTTACAAAACTGAATACATAGAGCGAACCCAAGAGCCAGCTCTGGACACATGCGGACCCCAGTTATTGATTAACCTCCTCTCCAACGCGACTAGAAGAGGCCACCAGCAGCTAGCAGAAATGCGCCTTCTGTCTAGAGCAAGTCCCTGGACGTTCTGTTTACACAACACCAGTGGGTAACTGAGCTGCCTCTGCAGGAACTGCAGATGCCTTGGCCACAGCTGCTTTGACAGTGCACTTCAGGGGCTGGGGCTGGGGGTGGGACTGGGGTGGGGCTGGGGGCTGGAGAAGCAGCAGCAGGAAGGCAGACAGATCATGCTGAGTGGCCCAGTGTCACCACGAGAAAAGGTAAACAGGGGCGCTAGAACAGGGACCAGACAAGGAGGGAGGAAGATGAAGTGAACACACATACAGTGGTGACATGGTGACGTGCAGCGTGCATCCCCAGGGCCTGCCGCCAGCCCTTCCAGGGACACACCGGGTGAGACATTCAGGTCATGCAACATAGAAGGCCTTGTCTTCGCTCACTGGTCACCACTGTGCATGCATGTAAAAATCTGGGAGGGAAAGGCACCAGCTCACACATGGACAGCAGTTGGTGGCAGACACAGACACACACACACACACACACACACACACACACACATACACACATACGGTGCACACATGAGGAGTTTTAGGGAAAGCACTGGGCACTGCTGGCCGAGCGTGGCTTCACACTCCATGCTATTTCAGGAGGGTGACTTCATTATCAGGTCGCAAACTCTGCTGCATCTGGTGTTGTGTAAACCCACGGTGACATCCTCAGGACCTGTACCGTGACATCCCTAGTCTCACACTAAAGCACTGTAAGAAAGGAAAAGGCTTGTCCAGATCCCGCACGTTCGGCTCATCCCGTCATTTTATTACCCAGTTGTCCGTTACAGTCCCAGTTGCTTTACAGAACCAACTCTTCCCATCGTTGCCACTGCTGTAAACCACATCAGCGAGTTAGTACATAAAGCTTTGCATTTCAAAAAACTAGACACTTTAGTAACAATATTACAAAGGTTTTAGCTTCAAAAATAACTGAAAATGAAAAAAATAAACTTTTAAAGAATTAGCATCATAAAATTAATTTATTCCAAGTAAAAATACAAAATAATATTATGACGTTGACCAGATATGAAAGTCCCTCCCAGAAACAACTCTAGTAATGATTGAGAAAGCACTCCTTAAAGAAAATACGAAATAAAATGAAAAATATGTAAATATGTTTAATTTTTTCTTAGCAAAAAATCTTTCTAAAAATAACAATGAAAATTTGTCTCAGTACAAAGGCTACGTTACTATTGAAAAAATACCAGCATGAGGAAAAGGTACGTATTTGACAGTAGAAAATGAGTGTTCTGTGAGTCACAATGTCTAAAGTCTGCAATGAAAATAAATCTGCAATAAAGATTTATGCCTTTTTTCTTTTCTTTTTTTCTATTTTTATACAAACAGTACAAACAGTATTGCACGTAACAACAAAGAGTCGAGGTTAGTACAGCCTTCAAAAGTCCACTACTTCAAGTGTCCCAGCAAGGAAGGCCACGGCAGGGCCTGTGTTACCAGGGGCTTCCCAGTCAAGTTGCAGGGCAGAACACCTCCGTGTTTTAAAAAATAATTTTTTTGAAGGACTCTCTCTTTTAATATAACATTAAGAACTTGGGGGGGGCACATTTATTTACAAAAACAAAAGGGAACATGTTATAATTTAATAAACTAAAAAAGTTCTCTTTAAAAAAATACAAACAGAAGAACTCTTTCACAATCCTGGTCAGCCGCACAATCAACACTTGATATAAATATACAAATCAAGGGAAAGTAGTTCCGTCACCTAAGTCACAACTCCCGGCAATAATGGAGTCTCTCTCACAAACTGGTCTCCCTCCGCGACAGACACTGTGGCCTCCGCGTTATTTACGCTGCCCAGTCTTCCAGCTTCTCTAGAGCTCAGGGTTGTTTTAGAACATGAAAGAGGGGAGCTTCTTCCAAACATCTGCATCTTTCACATAATTAGGTAGATTTCTGTAGGTTAGATATGATCTTTAATATTATAGTTATAAAGCTCTAACTTCTTCATTTTCAAAAAACACAAATAAGCATGAAAAAAATAAAGTTACCCATCTGTTAAATCATTTTCTTGCAGAATTAAATTAATATATATTTTCTGAATAAACTTACTTAGAAAATATCACTTTCTTTCCTATATTTCAAAATTGAGGTATTGCAAAAGATCAGGTCAGTCAGAAAGCATGCCTTTTCCTTAAAAACAAACAAACAAAAACCATCAGCCAACTCTTGAAAACGGTCTAGAATATAAAAAGTAGTAGTGCGTAACAAAATTTCCCATACAGATGAAAAAAAGTAAAACACAAACATAGAAAAAAAAGGAACAAAACAAAACGAAACCACATCTGGGCTGCAGAAAAGCAATTATTACCAAAAGGCCCAGAGAAAACCCCAAGGGGGAGGGCTCTAATAGGCATCTTTTAATTCAGTAAAAAACTATTTTTTTTTCTCCTCTTTTTGAAAACAAACTGTAGCCGGAGAGCCAGTATTCACAACTCAACACTGGAGAAACAAAAACCAAACTACAACAAAAACCAGGCAACACTAACTTTAAGACAGTACAGGAAATCACAGCACAAAAACACAGTGACTTAGATCTACTCTGCAGTGTGACGTCCAGTCAGATTGTCACCAGAATTCAGAACAAAGGAAGAAGGGATTAAAAGCTTTACAGTCTTGCAATCACCGTGCGTGTTTCTATTCCTCTCTGCAGCCCAGGAGCGAATGCTAAAACAATGTCCACGGGAGGACAGCAGGGCGCCAGCCCAGCCAGGCTTTCCAGGGTGAATCCAGGGACCTGGTGGTTAGTGTCTCACACCAAAGGCCGCGTCTGCTCAGTCACTCACTCAGACAGACATTGCTTTAGCATCACCCTCACGTGGCTTCTGACAGCTTATTTCTAGATTCTGTGTCCATCCTTAGTGTTTGAGAGCGAGGACGAGCTCTTTGGCCTTCTGGACAAGATCTGAAGCTGTGGAAAGTGGGGTGAGCATTACGAGGTCGTAACTCAGAGCTCAGGGGTTAATAATGTACCAGCTATGAATGGTCACGCCCACTAATGTCAACAGTTACATTTGATCACAGTTAGACATAATAATCACTTTACTATATAAAATAAATTGCACAAGATATAACAGCACCGCAGTACTTCATCTACCACCCACAGGTTTGCTGTAAGAGTATCCTACACCTAGGTGTTCTATTGGTTTGAGTAATGGTCGTCCTGCTATGGGCTCTTCCTGTCCACGGACACTCCACCCATTGAGGCATGCCTTCCTCCCACCGATTACCAATTCTTTTGAATGAAAAAAATCTTTTAAAAAAATGAGTAGTTTATAGCTTATATAGATTCTTAATTTGTGCATTGTGGGAAGGTTTTATACTAGACATTGGATATAAAATTTATTGCATGCAGCAACCGCATTAAGTAAACATGCAGTCAGGAACGGCGGCCTCCGCTGGCTCTCTCTGGTCTCTTCTGATCTCCTCCGGCAGCTTGCTCTATCCCTAAACCATGAAAGTGTGTTGTTGGGTTCTTGTTTTTGTTTTTAATTGATACCTTAGCCTGAATAGAGTATTATGGTATCAACAATATCATTTTAATAGCAGCAAAAGCTATTGCAGCATAAATTTACATAACACTAAAACATCTAACCCAAATCCTCAGCAAAACAAAAACCAAACATGAAGGAAATGAAAGATCCAGCTTGTGAGGTATCCGTACATGTCAGAGTACAGAGCAGCTACAGGCTTATTTTCATGAAGGGCTACCCTTGCTCTACGTGACCCCTCTACTGATTGCGGATCGTAAAGTGTTTGCTACGCCGGCCTCTACCTACACGTGGGACCTTTGGTAAGTCTCGTCCTAGGGGCGACTCTCTAAGTTTCTGAAAATAAGTGCATGCTCCAGTTCAGAACCAGTCAGAGCGACGACAACACAACATCAAACAAAGAGTCACAGACGTCAACCTGACGGCCGCTGATGAGAATGGCAGTCTACGTACTGTGGAGGCGACAGATCAGGTGTAAGAAATCAAGGTACCAAGCAGACAAGTTGGGAGTCAAAGTGCAAATGGGTACCGTTACACACTCTGCGATTCTGCATTATACTGGACGCTGAGTTCAGTAATATGGACTGTAAATGATAATAATAAAAAGACCCATTTCTTCTTTAAAAATCGAGAACGAATGCACAGATTTCCAGAACACCGTGAGCCCTGAGGCAGTGCCCTCTCTTCCTCCTTGTGATCCTGCTCCAGTACTTGTAGCTGGGTCTGCCTGGCCGGCGCTCAGCTCCAGCGGAACGGGACGTGCCGAGGGCGGTCGCCTCCCTCCTTCACCAGCGGTTTGTGGAACTCGCGGCCGGCTCGGGAGTGGATGCTGGCCCAGCAGTATTCACAGTAGTACTGTAGACAGGTGACATTGGCGCAGAAGAAGGGGGCAAACTTCCCACCGCAGCGCGTGCCCTGGCACTCGTCACACATCTGGTCATCCAGCACGTACGGTTTCACTTCCACCTGGACCGGAGAGGAGAGACAGGAGACAGGGCTCAGCAAGGCCTCCTTAACCCGGCTTTGCAGCCGCAGCTGTGTGGGGTCTGCTCGGTTTTTCACCTCTCTGTGTGCGCTCCAGGCACTCTGATCTGTAGGCGCACAACCCCACAAAGAGCTGTGCAGCCATAACTCCTGAGGATGGACAGAGTTCAGTGCAGGACAAACATCATCCCAGGGGAAGGGATGCTTCAGAATAGCCTACAAGCCTGAGAAGGTAGGCCTCCTCCTGCACAGGCCTGCCAGGGAGATCGTAGGCTCAAGGGAGGTTTGGGGTTTCTGTTGTGATAAAAGGCTTTTCTAACTGTCCCAGGGCTTTCCTGGACCCCAGGAACTGCAGGGGGATAAGGGAGGGGGCAGGGCACATGCTGAGGTTTTACAGGCCTTATCACCCTACTCTCTGCATCATTGGAAGCTAGAATAGAGGGAGCATTTAATAGACCAAGGGAAACCAAGCTACAGGACATGAAAGCCTTTCAAAACCAGAGAAAACAACTGCTTGTCTGTGTTTCTCTTTCCCAGAGCCTAGAAAAAAGACTGGGTTGTTAATTTCTTTGTTTGGAACACCAGGAATAGGCACAAAGATGGGATGTCTGATCATGTCTCTCTGACACCAGTGGCGGAGCCATGCTGGGGAGAGCAACCCTGCAGCTGGAGCGTGGTCCTGCAAGGTGGGCCAACGGTCTGACGCCAGAGCCTCTAGCAGGGCACAAGCCAGGGGATCTCTGCAAAGGGGTGGCAGGTGGAAAGGGGGGCGGGGCTACGGAGGCTGCAGTCTAACCTTCCACTGTGAGCTCCTGTCCACAGGTGTCTATCTACTGGCCAGATAATGAGAAACTCACACTCCAGGTCACCAAGGAGAAATGTCTTTACTGCTCCTCCCTCCACCCCCTTAAGCTGAGGACTGAACAAGTGGGATTCAAACAAATCCCTTCTATTAATCTCTGCATCATGAACTATCATGGCTCTGCAATCAAACCTGTCTGGGCTCACAGCAGGCCACAGAAACCTGTTCCCTCACTGCACAGCAGAAGAAAACCATGCATGCCCTGCTTGGTAAGAGTCCCTGCGAGCAGGTGAAGTCAGCACCCAGCGCGCTGCCCCATGCACCTCAGGCACAGCTGCAGGTCCTATGGCTTCCTGAAGGCCAGGCATGAAACTCTGTGCTTGAATGTGCACCAGTGTCTGCTGTCTTCCTTGGTTTAGTGTCCCACATACAAGTGCCAGTTCAATACTCAGAGGTCCTTTCTTGGTCAGAAGGTTCTGTTCTGCCTACAGGGCTAAATTCAGCTGCCTGAGTAAAACAGCTGCTTCCTGTCTCCAATGGCTCCAGTTCAAGCCAGTCTGCAGTTTGCCCGGACTCCCCCACCCCACCAGTGATTTCCCAATGCAGACTCTAATTGCTCAAGCTTCCCCCTTCCCCATCTCCTTTTTTCTGATATACAGTCTCACTTACATAGTCCAGGCTGACTTCACACTCAAGACTCCCCTATCTCAACCTCTTCCCACGTTGGTCTCTACTGGAACAGCTACTTCCCAGCTTAGAAGCCTTCTAACACCTGCTCTCAGCACACCTCATGACACCCAGCCCTGGCTGTCCTGGAACTCTCTCTGTAGAGCAGGCTGGCCTCGAACTCACAGAGACAGGTTATGAAATGTTTCTGACACCTCAACAGGAAGTCCTGGATCCACTAACTACCTGCTTATCCACTTCCTGGGACCATTCTACATTCCTTCTCTACACTAACTATTCTGGGTATTCCACACAGTGAATCACATACTAAGAGCTCTGCTCCATCTGGCTTCTTTGACCTTCATGCTGCATGCCCAGGGCCTTGGGGTCCATCCCCAGTACCACATCATCTACACTGTAGCCTGGAGGATCACTTGTACACTTTCCCCTACATTTCGTTCACATGTCTGTTGATGACACTGGTCGTTTCCACAGTCTGCTGTGCCTGGCACTCTTGACATGTGCATGCATGTTCACTTCTGAGAGCAGATGTTTCTAGTTTCCAGGGTAGATACTTGGGGATAAACTTAGACAGCAATTTGATTTTAACGTAAAAATATTTACTTCTGTGTTATTTACAGGTATCTATGTAAGTCTTGGTAAACCTGGAAGCCAGCAAGTCCCAGACATCCTCCTGCTACAGCCCTTTTGGAGCTGGAATTATGTGCTCTGAACTGCTGAGCTGCCTCTCCAGCCATTCAGTGCTTCAGTTGCTGAGGAACTACTGAGTTCTTTTCCACAGCAGCTACAAACCACAGCACTCCAACCCACAAAGTAGCGGAGCACCAGCCTCTGTGTGCCATTTGTGGGGTTCTAACCATCCTGGTGGGGAAGATGTGGCCCCACCATGGGTAAGATTGGCAGCTACTTAATAGCCAAGATATTTAGCTTCTTTTCACCTGCGTATTGTTGTCCATTTTATTGTTTCTTAAGAAAGGATTTAGTGTGTGGCTTTGACCTCATGACCCAACTGTCTCAGGGTTCTTAGGGCTGTGAATAACAGGCATTCACGACCACCCCAGGTGTGGCCATAGATATGTCCTCTATAGAGAAAGGCTATTCAAATCTGCTCAGTTGAAGCGAGCTGTCTTTCTGTTGTTAAGTTGAAGAATTCTTTAAATATTCCGGATTCAGCCTCCATGGTCTAGAATGGACAGAATCTTTTCAACCATGTAAGTTGACTTTTCACTTTTTTTTTTTTTTTTTTTTTTTTTGGTTTTTCGAGACAGGGTTTCTCTGTGGCTTTGGAGCCTGTCCTGGAACTAGCTCTGTAGACCAGGCTGGTCTCGAACTCACAGAGATCCGCCTGCCTCTGCCTCCCGAGTGCTGGGATTAAAGGCGTGCGCCACCATCGCCCGGCTGACTTTTCACTTTTTGTAAAATGTTCTTTGGCACAGAAAAGTTAAGTCCCTTGTGTGTTGCACATCTGAAAAGGACCCCAGCTGTCCAACTGGCTTCTAGCTGGGCTCTGTGCCAGCTCTCTTTGTGAGGGATCTCTGCAGGATCAAGTTAGATCTTTGCAAGAGCCACCATAAAGACCCTCGCGCCAGCCACAGCTGGTGCCTTCTTCTCAGCTGTAGTAGTGCCCCCTTGGTCTAAATTTCCAGAGGACCGGCATTTCTCCTCTTGATGCTAAGACACCTGACTTATGATCTTTTAAAAAGTAAATATTGCCGGGCGGTGGTGGTGCACGCCTTTAATCCCAGCACTTGGGAGGCAGAGACAGACGGATCTCTGTGAGTTCGAGACCAGCCTGGTCTACAAGAGCTAGTTCCAGGACAGGCTCCAAAACCACAGAGAAACCCTTTCTTGAAAAACCAATAAAAAAAAAAAAAAGTAAATATTGTGCTGTGCCAGGTACGGCCACTTGTGTGCCCATAACCCCAGCATTTAGAAGATGGCAGCAGAAGATCAGGGGTTTGAGGTCATTCTGAGCTATAAAATTCCTGTCTCAAAACACACGCGCACACACTCCTTGTTAAAATGAAGTATGCTTTCTGTCCCTTCGGAATCAGGAGACATGAAGCCCCTGTCAGGTCAGATAATAAAGCACAACACAGTCTTCACTTTCTGTCCTGGAACTCGCTCTGTAGACCAGGCTGGACTCGAACTCACAGAGATCCACCTGCCTCTGCCTCCCAAGTGCTGGGATTAAAGGCGTGCGCCACCACCGCCCGGCGTAAGTTTGTGAATTCTTGCCATTTTTATTTTTACTTAATTAATGCCAGTCAATAGTCTAAATAGAGCACCTGTTCACAAATAAACATACAACTTTTGGACAACACTGAGCTCTGAGAGGCTTTCCTGAAGATGTCGCCTGACCTCCTTCCATCTGGATGAGCAGAGCTGCCTGCCAAGCCTCTCTGGGCACCTGTATGAAGGTGCTGATCTGAAGAGCAAAGGTTTGCATGAAAGAGAAACCCTTCACGAAGGACACTGATGTCTAGGTTGTCCCATGCTACTGCAGGAGGGCAACTATTTTGTTCAAAGTGGATTTACCTATGTGACTAGGTTCAGTGAGCATCACTAAACATAGAGGATAAGACACCACCCTTCTCTAAACTCATGCTGCTCTAAAATCACTTCTGAGGCTAGATCCGTGGCTCAGTTGATAAAATGAGTGCCTCACAATAGGGCCTGAGTGTGATTCCCAGCACCTAGGTGAGAACCAAGCAGTGGTCATCTCAACATGAAAGAAGGGACAGAGGCTTCCTAAGGCTTTGCTGCCTGTTAATCTAGCCAATTAGTGAGGTTCAGGTTTAATGAGACACTCTGTCTCAAAAAACAAGGTGGAGAGTAACTAACATCCCAAAACCAACCTCTGGCCTTCACACACACACACACACACACACACACACACACACACACTACACACATGAACATGTATTCCCAAACAAGATAAAAATTAGTAAATTGAATTACTAACATAAACATTTCCTAAAGATATTCCCAAACTCTCTGTAGTTTCTGTCTTATTCCAGGACTTTCTGTATGATTGTCAGGTATTTTTAGGAAGCTATCCAAAATAATTCTACTTTTGTTGATAAAGAAATAAAACAAAAAGAAGCTGGTTTCTGTCAGCTACCATCAATTTAGCCATGACTCTGATGACAGCAGCATTGTAGGAGCCATGTTACAGGTCTATACTACCCCAAAAATCCAAATACTAAAGTCCTAGGCAGAGGTGAGCACACAACCAAGCTGACCCTCTACTTCTAGGAGATGCAAAGGAACAGGACATAAGAAAGACATTCAGAAATATTTAGATTCACAGTCACATGGGGTAACCAGGCCAAAGGACACGCAAAGTCTCTGTGGTGTAGTGATGATGTACTCCTACAGACAATGAGAGATGATGCAGAGCTTTAGCTAGGGGGCTGTCAGCTAATCTAGAGTTATACAGACAAAAAAGAATGTCAGACATCAACAAAATGATCTCAGTGCTTGCTAACAT